AGAGTCTTCTTGGACCTTCTGAGTGTCAGGTCTCTGTCCTACCTTTTGGGGACCTCTTTGGCCTCTTGGAGTGGCTGTCAGAAATTTGTTGCTGGGCCAGTGGTCCCTGGCTGGTGATTGTTCCATTGGAGGGTCTTTGTCTTCTACTAACCAACAGCGACCAGGAGAGGCTCTGTGTTTTCACATGAACAAAAGTTCATTAAATGGAGGCAGCTCATGAGCAATGGAGGTGACTAGAGAGCAGAGAGCGTGCAGGACTGTGCCAGTGCTGGCTTCTGTCTTCCCAAGGTTTCTGGAGCCTAGATAAGGTTTAAGATAAGGGGCACTGTGTTTATTCACGTTATCTTGAGGATAGGCTGAGGTGGGTAGACAGGGTTATGGAGATCAGATGTGTGTGAAAATTGTATTTAAGATGGCATCCATTGTGAAGTTGTCTGTGATTGCTTGACATGACTTATTCTGGGATGTCATGCATATGCAGCTTCTGGTGATGCTGGCTGCAGTGCTGCTGAGGGAATGACATTCTCTCATTTCTCACCCTGTTAGGAAGGTCTCTTGTTGATCACTGTACAAGGCCGGTTCTCATGCTAAGAGACCAACTCAAGACAGTGGTTCTGCAAAACATCTTTTGGGGGAAAAAATTAAACATAGCACTTAACAACAATTATACAAAAGCCTGCAGGCAGGGCTGTTCTGTGTTTAATCTTCCTTAATCTTTAAACACAGGAACTCTCCCATTGTTTAAGGTCATAAGGAAGGAAGGGCAGAAAGCATGGGTAGAAAAATGGGAGTTTTGGAATTCGGGGATTTCTGTCAGCTCTAAACCTATCTCTGAAGCCTCTAGATTTTCTGCTTTCTATCAAGGGAGCTCTTGTGGCCTAGGGGTTAAGGAGTTGTGCTGCCAACCAAAATGCAAGATGTTCAAATTCACCAGCTCTTCTGAAGGAGAAAATACCAGTCTCCTCCTGTGTAATTTATAGCCTCTGAAATCCTTCTAGATGGTTAGCTAGAAGTGGTTTCTGGCTTGAAGACACATAATAACACCAAGACATTTCTTTTCTCCCACTGTCAAGGACCTCTCAAAAGTTCTGAAGAACAAATGTCAATTTGAAAAAAAAGCTTCACCTCATTCAGGCCCTGGTGTTTTCAATTGCTTCCTACTCACCTGAAAGTTAGACAATGTATAAGGGAAACAGAAAAAGAACCAATGCCTTAAAACTGTAGTGTTGATGAATAATATAGAATGTCCTAGGGACTACCAATTTCAAGAAGCTACACTCTATGAAAAAGAATATGCATCAGGACTGGAGGAAGACTCTTCAACTATACCTACACTGCAGATGATACAATCTTACTTGCTGACTATAGAGGGGCTTGAAGCGCTTGCTGCAGAATATCAAAGACTCAGCCTTCAATATGGATGGCATCTCAACATCAAGAAAACAAAAATCCTCTTCATTGGACCAGTGGGCAAAATCATGATAGATGGAAAAAAAAAAAAAGATTGAAACTGACAACAATATCATCTTACTTGAGTTTACAACCAATCCACTTGATACCAGCCGTCAGGAAATCAGGGGATGTATTGCACTGCAAAGTCAATTCTTTCTGAATTCAAACTATTAAACGGTTAGAAAACACATTTCTGTTTGTTGAAGCCAGATACTATGGTATTTCTGTTGTAGCAACGCTAGATAAAACAGCACATAATTCAGCTGTTTGGCCTGCGAAAAAGTCAAGTGGACCTTGGAGAACGGCCATGGGCTCTTGTAAATAGAACCAGGTGGTAGCTACACGTTCAGCTTCTGCTTCCATTGCTGTATGTATCCTTATTTCAGTCCTGACCAAATCTTTGATCTCCATACCAATTTGTAAACATCCAACAGGATCAATTTGCTTTTATCTTCACATTCTCACAGCAGGACAGCCAGATATGCTCTGGTTCGAGAGGGAGTGGCGGTGGCTCGCTGGATGACACCGTTGTTTGCCGGGTTGCCCTGGGCCCGAGCTGGCTCACAGCTGGTGGGAAAAAGCCGACAAGCCAGTCACTGGGGCTGTGTTAGGGGAGAATCTTTCGGTGTCAGTAAAACTTACTGGTGAAGTAAAACGGAGTGTTTTACACGCAGGGTACCCGAGGTCTGCCCTAGAAATCCAAAGCAGCACCCTGGCTCCAGGTCCGACTCCCTCGGCCATGCCCCTCTAACACCCTCTACTGACCAAGCTTAACATTGCGCCATGTGGCAAGAAAGAATGAAGACACACACCCACTTTCGCAAAGCAGGTTAATTTGGAGCAGAGGCAGTAAAGTGGTAACTGGTTCCTATTGAGATTTTTAAAAACTTCAAGTATGAGGGAATTTTTGGTAGGTTTCTGATAAATTATCAAATTCACGAGGTTTCCTTTTAGTTTTACCTTGCTATTTTGGTTTGTTGTTGTAATGTGCCGTCGAGTCGCTTGCGACTCATAGCGACCCTATGTACAAGAGCCCTAAACTCTGCTCTGTCCTGTGCCAATCGCACTGTCTCTGACACTCCCATCCCGATTATCCCAGTCACTGAATCAATCCACCTCATAGAGGGCCTTCCTCTCCTGCGCTGTCCCTCCACCCTCTCAAGCATGATGTCCCTAAGGACCAGTCCCTCCTTACAACATGTCCAAAGTATGTCAGAGGAAGCCTCAGAATCCTTGCCTCCAGGGAGCCGCCTGGTTTAACCCTTTCCAGGATGAATCTGTTTGTTTTCCTAGCAGTCCATGGTACCCTCAATACTCTTCTCCAACACCAAAGCTCAAAGGCATCAATTCTCCTTCTATCTAGTCATTGTCCAACTGTCTGATGATAACAAGTGATTGCAAAGACCATGGTCTGTATCAGATGCACCTTAGTCTCCAGAGAGACACCATTGCTCTTCAGTACTTTGGAGAGGTCCCTAACAGCAGACTTTCCCATCGCAATACATCTTTAATTTCCTGGCTACTGGTGCTGAGAGTGTTGACTGTGGAGCCAAGCAAACTAAAGCTGTGAACAATCTCTTCACCATCTATCCTGATGCTCCCATTGGTCCAGTATTTTGGTTAGTCTTGCTTTTATAGCCAGGAATGAATCTTCAATTTTATCAGATGTATTTTTAACCAATTAAATAGTATAGATTCCCCTCATTTAATATGTTAATGAAGTCAAATCCACAAACTGTTATCCTGATGTTATGTCATCTTCAGGTTCTTGGACTAAACCCTATTTCTTCACAGTGTATTCTTTTAAAATAGACTGATTTGAGGTAGTGCTTTTTTTGTTTTTTTAGGGTAAAATAGTAAACATAGATTTATTAGAAAGTTATAGCCCCAAAGGGGCAGACTTCCCTTTCGGAAAGATTTGGAGGGAAGGCCAAAATCGTGCTTTTAAAAATTCTCCATTTATATCTTATGTAGATGGGATGAACCTCCAGATTCTACTTTGGGTGCTTTTCTGTTATATTGCTGTCAGAGTTATACTAAACCTGGTGCACTGAGTTGGGAAATTTCCTCATCTTTGTAATGCTCTGAAACCTATGTCTTGAAACTTGATAAAATACAGTCAAATAAAAATCTTACTTGATAAGAGTTGTGTTGTCAGCTCAAAGGCAGGTGTTCTAGTCCACTGCTCTGAGGGAGAGTGGTGGGCAATCTCCTCTGTTGTGCCTACAGCCTCTGAAGCCCACTGGAGGACCAGCTATGAGTTGGCTCTGACTTGATAGTACATAAACAATGTTACTACATTTCCCAGGCTTTCTTGCTTGCATACATTAACTGTTAACAAGGGTTAGAAAGAGTTTCAGAAAACAAAATGCATGTAGGTGGCAGAATTGAAAACCAATTTGCTTTGTAAACTTTCAGTCATTTAACAATAACGTTTTTTAAAAGGTTTCAAGATAGGGCAATAAACTGCCATGTTCTCTTGAATATAACTGGGATGGTTGGTGGAGCATGTACACGGTCACCTCTCAGGTACCATCCTTGAGGTCCACACTCCAGGAGATGGAAGTTCTACATTTCTGTACTTTCAGTGGTCATTGTGTGCCGTCGAGTCAGAACCGGCTCTTGCTGACCCTCCAGCAGTTTTCAGACGCAGGAAATCGCGGATTGCCCATCCTCCTCCCATGTACTTTTAGTGGTAACCTTAAAATTTAACATACATTCACATTTCCATTTTTCGCTTAGGTCTCAATACACATATTTTTGTTTTCATAAAGCAAAGCTTTCACTTAACCCCTTCTGCTCACTCCTGTTCCATGTTGAAACCATTTACTGCATTATGTCTGTGCTGTGTCCTCTACATAGATTATTTGACATGATTGTTACAATTCTTTGAGATCTGCAGTAGTCTCCATTTTTATACATAAGTGAAGCTTTTAAGCAGATTTATTAGTGTCTCTAAATTAGGAGCCGACCCAAGGCAATCTACTCTTTCCAGTAAACAATACTGCCTAATTCAGAATTTCAGTTCTAAATTATTATAAAAAATGTGTATCAGCTTATTTATGTTTTACTAGGTACAAAGCTATTTCTTATTGATACCACTTTCATTTTATTTTGCTTGACTGCATCCTAACTAGTTTGGCAATGCATGGAATTGTAGACTCAGCTCTGACCTGGAGGGATCCATTCAACAGCAACAGGGTGGGGAAGTAATATTTAAATGTACAAATACTCAGTGTGTAATCAGATAAATACTAACTTACGTGCACCTTTGCAACCACTACATAGATGGAGACAGTTCATTGATAGCATCCCAGTATGCATTCCCAATTGTGCCCCATTCCCAATCAATAAACCACCCATACCAAACCACTCTTGGAAGCAGAAGTGGCATCCACTTCTGAAATAGCTTGCCTCTGGAAACCCTTGACAGCATTTAACACCAACCAACCAAACCACTACACTGTTATGTCATTGGAGGTTAAGTTTTTTCTCTTCTTTAATTCTGTGTTTTGGTGAGAGCAGTGTTTAATGTTCTTTCTAAATAGAAACTTGATGAGAAGCTTGAGTTCTGGATGGAGAAGTATGACAAGGACACAGAAATGAAACAGAATGAACTAAATGCTCTCAAACTTGCAAAGGCCAGTGACCTAGCACACCTACAAGAACTTGCAAAGACGGTAAGAAGTATTGACCTTGATCTCGGAAAACTACTTGTTGAGGAGGGAGTGGTGGCTAAAATGCAGTGATTGGGTGATGCTGCTCTTAACCACCCCTTGTGCTTGTGGTGCTGTGCCTAGTGTGCTGCCCTGCTAATGTAAAGGTCAGCAGTTCAAATCCACTAGATGCTGTGTGGAGAAAGACAGGCTGTCTCCTCTTGTTAAGATTTGAAAACCTGATACGCCACTATGAATCCGAGTTGACTAGATGGCAGGGGACTTGGTTTAGCTTAGAGGCAGGTCCTACGGTCTCTGAAAACAATTTGTATTTGTAAATAATGAGTTCTAAACATCTTCTGATTATTAAAGAACTTTCTAAATTTCTTTTAAACAAAGGTAGCAATTTTACATGTACATTCTAGCACATTTTAAAAGGCATACATAATTTAGTCATTTTTCATGAAAGCCATTAACATTTAAATGTGCATTATTCAGATTAAAAATATTTGGAATTCAAATTGAGTATGTTAATACACGAATATTTACAATAGAGGAATCCAGCCTTTTCATTGGTTCATCTTTAGTTTTATTTTAAATTTTATTATTGCTAAGTGCAGGGCTGGTTGGCCAACAGCTTACCTAGCAAGTACCTAATGTATGATGCCTGTCTTTGCAGCTAAGGGAGTATGAACAAGTCATCATTGAGGATCGGATAGAAAAGGATGCAGTCAGGAAGAAGATTGCACTGGAAGACCTGGAATTAAAGAGCGCCTTAAAGGTACAGAGAAAACCTGCAGCTGTCAGAGCTGTAACTGGTCTAGGGCTGAGAACACAGATCATTTTCATTCATGATGAATCACAGAGTTGTTTTCCATAGCACAGATGTGTGAGATGTGTACACACACAGCCCAGGGTATAGGGAGGCAGTCAGCACTGGAAACAAAACCTAGAATCTGGGTTCAGAAGTCAAATTTAAGAATACTATTTTGTAGACCCAAACAGTAGTCTACTTGACAGAATGATCCTCCATTGCTGCTTAAAATCCTATTTCTCAGTCAGTCCAACCTATTTGCTAAATTCTGATAAAAGAGGTGTTCTTTTTTTTTCTCCTACCCCTCATTTAAAAAAAAAAATAGCTGGATGGGGACAATGAGGAAAAACTGTTGCACTGTATTAATTTTATATTAATTTGTGTATTATAATACTACAAACCTTGCTCAAGTAGTCAAAATGCTGGGAAATTTAAAAAAAAAAAAGCATAATAATAAAGCAACATAAATGGAACTGAAACTGTTTTCTAGGTTGTCCTAAGAGGCAATCTGTTGAGAATCTTCTGTGAAAACTGTAGTCTAAGTTGTGTATTAACAAAATACATTCAGAATCTCAAATGAGATTTAGATGCAAGGATGTACTTAACTTCTGTTGTTCTTTACATTTGTCAAGATTCCTCAATTTGGAACCAAAATGAAGGAACTGAGACCCCTCTTTTAGGGCCTAGTCTTGAGTTTAAAGAGCTAAAAAGGCTAGCTTAATCTATTTTAAAAAATATTGATCCTTTAATTAAGTCACTAAAGACATGAAATACCCCAAGAATCCTACTGAAGTCACTTGTCCAAATGATAAAGGCATTTTTGAGACCAAGCACATGCTTCTGCCCCTGAACTCAAATATCATTCTGTTTGGATCAAATGGTTCTAGATATTTAAACTTAGTACTGGTAAAGGCAGCAGCTCAAGGAATCTAGGTTTCTGTATGTAAAGGAAAAACTGAACTCCTCAAACTCCTTTTTTCACTTGAGTAGTTTACTCGATCGTGTTATGTAAGCTCTAAGCTCTGCACAAGGTCCGTGGCTGGAGGGACAGCTTGCCTAACTCCAATCATGTCTAGACACTGACTATTCAGGTTGAAGTTATTTTAATCAAAGACCAGTTCTCTTAGGTGCAAAGAAGGTACTAGCCAGGTATCCACTTGTGTTCATTCTTCTCTTTCAGATCCAGGCCTGGTGGAGAGGGACTGTGATACGGAATGAGATTGGTTCTTTCAAGATGCCCAATAAAGACAAAGATGGCAGCAAGGAACCAAAAGGCAAAGACAAGGAGAAGCGGAGAGGCAAGAAGTGACCATGTTCTCTGTTATCTTTTCCTCTGATAATCTGGAAATGGAAGAGAGGACTTGAAGAAGGGAAGAAACATCTTCACTGTCACGGGTAATATACCCATAGGCTGTGTCTTATTTACTCTCCGAGTGACTTGGTTATTTCACTTTGCCCGTTAGATCCGTTATCAAGCCCTTAGTTATGATTAGCTGTAGGACTTCCTCATTTCTTGTTAAGATTTGCTGGGAATAAGTGTTTCTTGAAGCCCTGAAGATTCTTTTCATTCTCTCATCAGAAATAATATAGATGTGTTTAGTGGGAGATGCATGGAAACTTGTTATTCCTGTAGTGTCTGATCCTGACTTTATGAAATTCCTATAGTGAAAATACTCTGAAGCAAGTGAATGTTCAGCAGGAGTGAGCACAAGATGATGTGTGACGTGTCTAACAAATGCACAGGACATTTGCTGGTCCTATCTCCCAGTCAGACTGGTTAGCACTTTGTGTTTTTACTGGTGGTGAAGGGCCTGGGGAGGCAAATATAAGTAATCATTATTTGCTGCTTCACTTTTTTTCCCCTATAGTTATATTTTATCAATTTTCATAAACATTTACAGAGATTTTGGGTTTCCATTCATTCACTTTTTTTCTGGGAAATAGAACAGGGTAAAAGTAAGAAATGTTAGCACACACAACCCACAAATAGTAAAGTGATGGTGGGTGGGGCACATGCTCTCTGGAAGGCTAGTGTGAAGATATATATTTGATAAATGAGCCATCAGTCTGTGTCAGCTTTGAGTTCTCCCTCAATGTCCACCCAATGGGATATTATGGCTAACAGATAAACCAGAAAACCTTCCACTAAAAATCCAAACTCATTGCCACAGTTGATTCTGACTCACGGGAAAGCTCCATCCAGTTTCCAAGACTAAAACATTTCACAGGAGAAGACTGTCCATCTTTCTCCGTCAGAGTGGCTGGGGACTTAGACTGCTGTCCCCTCGTATGCAGCTCAACACATTATACATGACGCCCCTAGGGAATCCTTGATGAAGAGAGACTCTCATCAAGTCAACTTTGATTCCTAGCCACCCTCCACTGGATTCCTGAGGTCATAAATCTTGGCAGAAGACACTCTGCCTCAGAGCCTTTGGGAGATTTGAACTGCTACAGAGTAAGGTGCGCCTGACCCAGGCCATGACCTTCGCAATTACTTGCTATTCACCAGAGAACTGCACAATGACCAAAGAGGACAGAATTGATCTGAGTTGTGGTGCTGCAGAAAAGTACTGAACATACCATGGCCTGCCAAGAGAACAAACAGGTCTGTCCTGGCGAGGGTGAAATGAAGCCACGCTGCTCCTTGGAGGCAAGGATTTTGTGAGTCTATCTCACATGCTTTGGGCACGTGGCCTGGAGGGACCAGACCTTGCAGAAAGAATCATGCTTGAAGGGTGGAGGACAGAGCAGAAGAGGAAGACCCTGGATGAGATGGATTGACACAGTGGGGCTATGTCTGTCAGTGACAGGGAGACTGGCTCAGGACAGAAGAGGGTTCAGAGCTATTATGCATAAGGTCGCTATGAGTCAGTTGACTCAATGGTAAACAACAAGAAGCAGCTACTGATTCATAAGGAAGCCATGCTTTAGGAAACCACATTTTGAAACTGGCTTTTATTTCGTGCTACTGACGTGTTGGCTTTTATTTAAGGTCGATGTGTAAGGTAGCATACAGACAATTAAAAATAACATACATGCTATTGACAAATTTATATTTAGAATATATTGCAATATATTTACAAACATTTAAGACAATATTTTTAAAAAACCTTACTAATTACATGTTTACAGTATTTTCAGAAAAGATGAAAAATGCCATAAACCATTTCACTGCAAAATGTATAAAAAGAGGCTTCTAAATAATTCTGTTTTCCTTCATTTCTGTAACCATTTAAGCACTTAAGTTTTAAAAAATTCATCAGACTCATCAGTATAGTCACACAGAAGTTACTGCTGAGCTGTAGTAAGAGAAACCAGACTCAATTAGCTGTGTGGTTGTATTAAGTTGTTAAAGAAAATTACTATTACGACACATTTTTCTTACTCTGTGGTGAGCCAAATGGAAAAAGACCTCTTCTTCCAAAGTCCATGGCAGCCAATCAATGTACAGTGGAGGGCAGCCCAAGCCTTGGGGTTTGGAATCACCTCACATGCTCTGAAGCACAGTCAACTATGGGTGACTCGATGGGACAGAAAAGTAACATATGCATGCAAAAGATAGACCATGAATAAGGAAAAAAGATCACTGACTGCCAAAAGTGAGGTCCCACAAGCTCTGGATATGTTCTCAGAAGGGACTTGTTGGGGAAGGGCATCATTCTTGGTGGTCTATCAGTGTGTGGGGGGGCAGGGTAAGACCCTCAAAGAGATGCACTGACATAGTGGCTGCAGCAGTGGACTCCAACACAGCAGTGACTGCGGAACCAAACAGGATGATGTGCTGTTGTCACGTTTGCTGGGAGTTGGAACTGATTCAATGGCACCTAACAACAAGGAAAGCAGCTCCTTCCATTACCTGTTTCCAGAGCAGTTATGAGAACACTGGAATATGACAGTCAAGACATGTGTCTGAAAGTTTAAAAGCAGCTGACTTATTAAAGCAGTTGTACGCACAGGGTTCCCTCCTGCATCCAGTTCTGGGAAGCCACGTACTTGCTACAACAGGACACTCCCAGCTGGTCTCAGGAGGGATTGCTACAAAGGTCAGCCTCACCTTATACTGGACTCTTGCAAGGTGTAAATGTTAAAGTCAAATGGTAGCACTTTAAAAAACCCTCAAACAAAACCACCCACAACAATGAATACAGAAATCCTTCAAGAAGTCATGATTTGTTTGAGTCCACCAGATGCTCTGCTGAAGCAGGGGCAATCTCCTCCTGTGCCAGTCGGATCTGATTCAACAGCATACAACAACAAAAAAGAAAAAACAATGCACACTCATGTTTATTGCGGCTTTGTTCACAATAGCAAAGAGTTGGAAACAACCTAAGTGCCCATCAACAAACAAATGAATAGAGAAACTGTGGTATAATCACACAATGGAATACTATGCTGCATTGACAAACAAGAAGCTCATGCAATATTATTCAAAATGGGTGACCCTGGAGGACGTTATTCTGAGTGAAATATCTCAGTCACGAAAGGACAAATACTGCATGGTACCACTGTTGTAGAATGGGACTGACATCGGGGTTGGGGGAGACTGAGAAAGATGGGATAAATTATGTATACTGCATTGAAACAGATGAGGGAGAGAACTGTTTAAAAGGGAGATATGATTAGGTATTATTGTCATGACAGGAGTCCAGAATGAAGGCTACACAGTGGAGTGGACTTCATAACAAAGAAATAATTTTTCTTTTACTTTTCAAAGAGAAGAGTGAACTGGGGGGTCGGGGTGGGCAGGGAGAAGAGTGTAACAATGAATGAATGAATGGAAATCCAAAGTCTCTAAAATAAAAATAAAAAAATAAACAAAGTCTCTGTAAATTTTCATTAAAATTATTAAAAAAAAAAAAGGGAAAGCCATGATTTGTTCTTACATCTTGACATATAAATTCAATATATGGTATTTGTCTTCCATTATCAACCAAAAAAAAGTGTAATTTGTAACAATTCAAATGAAAATTTGATAAAATACATCAGTAAAGTTTCATACTATGTGTGAAACTTGAAATAAATAGAATCCTACTTTTCATCGATTCCAATGGAAAAATTAATCTCAAATGTTATCAGTGTTACTCTGTGTGTAACGGCTTCTAGAATGGCATCTTGTACAGTCTGTGACAAACAGTCCTGTCTTTTAGTGAGCTGTGGTTCTTCATGATCTGGAGATCAGACTGAGGTTTAATGTTTATTAGGAGAGAAAAAAACTTACAGCTTGAAAACAGAGCTAAATTCAAAACAAGCCCCGTGAGTGAGTTGTGGCTGTAAACACTTAAGATATTGTGGATATTTCTGTTATTTTAGGGCTCGGAAGCTTTTAAGTTCAGATGTTTAACTTTTCATAATTTTTAACATGGAGAAAGTATTCAGGTATACTTACTTCTGTTAGAAGAAGAAGAAAATAAATACTTTCACTATATACGCCATATAATTTTATCCAAGATACTGCATTTACCTGATAAAAGTAAGGATAATTTTATGTTCAAATACTAAAAAAACTTAAAGGCCACTGAGTTCAAGCTGACTCATGGATGACTATCCAGAGGGTGTAATCCAACCGCACAGGAGGAGACGGCCCATCTTTCTTCCTTTTGGAGCCATTGGTGGATTTGAACCAGCAGAGAGTGATGACCTTTGAGTCAGCAGTACAACACCCTACTGAGTATGCCACCAGAGGTCCTAATGTTCAATGCATGTCATGGTAAAGAAAAATGAGAACAGTTAACAAAATACTTGGTTTACAGGTGTGGTAAATACCAGAAGATGCCACTGACTGCCAAAAGGGATTTCAAATCAAGAGAAGGGAAAACCCAAGCAGCCTGCAACTGAACAAAAGGCGCCCTGCTTCGGTGTCCCGTGAGCTCCCAGACCCTCGACCCCAGCCACATCGAGTACATGGGGCTCTAGTGGTGTCACATGGGGAGTGAGGCAAGGAGGCCATTTCCACATCTGCTGTGATTGGAGCACACCCAAGTCTTGGGAGCAGCAGCAGACAGGGTGGTTCAAGGATTCAATTCATAAACTGCAGAGTAGGTGTGTTACCCACCCCAGGATTTACACCGGCATGTAGAGTACTTGTTTCTAACGCGAAGTAACAGCAGGATGATACAGAGAACCAACCTCTATATAAAGAGCAAGAGGTGGAAGAGGCAGCTTTTGCTCTAATGTTTCACTAGGTAAAATCTTAAGCCCAAGGTTTCATAGATTATTTTTGTTTTGCTTTTCACAGAACAGTCCAAGTGGCCATAACTTACCTTTTTATTTTAAACATGGCTGCAAAAAACACCCTGGGACTTTACCCTAAAATCATGCAAATGTTGGCTTAGAACAGTTGCCTCCATTACATGAAAAACACCTGGGACATTTGTTGAAAACCTCCACTTCCTAGGCCACGCACCAAACCTACTTATTGAATTACCATTATTTTAATAAATGCTCCAGATAATTCTAATAACCAAATTTAGAAACCAGTGGACTATATAAATCTTAGAAACAGGTAAAAGAAACCACCCACAGAATGTCTGTATCCTCAAGAGAGCTAAATGACCGTCTAAGAAGACACTCTTTCTGGCATATGAAATGAGTATTTCTAAGAATGCGTGGCCAGCTTAGGCTTTGGAGCTGGTTTCTCAATAATGACAGAATTTTTTAAAAAAATTGACAGAATTAAATCCCATTTGAGAAAACGAAGGGTTTCTTCATTTAAAAAAAAATCCATGGAAATGGATATAACCTCCCCTAAAATGGAGAAATGAAGCAAAACATTCCTGTTAGGAATCATGGGCAGAGTCCGTTTTAAGAACACATAAGCGATTTGTGTAAGCAGGGGGCTGGCAGCAGGGTCATGTCCCGATCCGCGCCTGGGCCAGGCCAAATCCCAACTTCCGGGGAGTCCTTAAACAGTGGGTAACTGGTGCTGCTGTTGCTTGGGCGGGGCAAGTTCCAGGAGGGCCTGGACCGTCACTGCGACCTGGCTCAAGCCTTTCTCTTCTAAAATGTGGAGAGGCAAACATAATTGCTCCTGAAATGGGATGACATGACAAAAAAACAAGCGGAAGAAAAAACAGGATGAGCATCATAAAACAGCAAGGAAAAAACAAACATCCCTTCTCCACCCACCACACTCATCTGAAATTAATTATACAAAAAGTTGAGTACCTGGGAAACTGACTTCTATGAACATGAGTCACAGGCGGGGCCTGACACCCACAGGGAAAGATACTGTTAGTAGTACTGTCATCCACTTCAAATTAGTATGTTCCAGTTACTGTCACTTTATTAACACAACTATAAAAGTACATACAGATGGTTTTGAGAATTGGAAAATGAACAAGTGGCATCAATGTGTACATACATACATACAACAGAGGAAGGACAGAATACTCTGGAGTGGAAACAATGTCCTTCATCCCCCATGAATAAAAAGGCAATGATACAGATCAACAGACGAGGCAAGTGAAAACCAGAAAACAGTTCCAAGTCTGTAAGAGAGAACACTTTAGCAGAAAGTACTTGGGCAATGAGCCAACACAGGGTGTAAAGTGGTTTCACGTCATTACTGAGACTGCATGGATGGGGGACTGTCCACTGATCCAGGTTCTGAAGCCCAAGCCCCTCTCACTAAGTATATCTAGAAAATGTCCCTCCATTTGGGTAATTCACAGGGGGACCTGTGCTGAATTAGTGTAAAGTGAAAATTATAGAATTTTTGAAATAGTATTCATATTCTGATATTTAACAGAACAAACTATGCTAGAGAACTGTGATGTGGTTTCAGTTAGAAGCATCTTAAGTCCCAAATATGAAGAGAGTGTATGTGTTTGTTTAAGGAACTTAAATAATTCTTATCTAGAACATTAATTTGTTTAGTTAAATCTTTTCCAGAAAAAGGCAAATTTTAAGACTAACATCTACCACTATTTCTTACTGATAAGATTAAATATCCAAAAAGATTCAGAAAAGGATGGCTGGCATAAAGGCCTTTTACAAATTCCAAAAAATAAACTAAAAACCCTGCCCCATTTTGATCAAGTTGCTTTTTGATTCTGACTCACAGCCACCTGTAGGACACGGCCCAGCTGCCCTTACAGGCTGCCCAGGCCCGGCAGCGGCAGCGGCCACACATTTCTTCACCAGAGAAGCTGGTGGGTTCCAACAGCCAGCTTGTCAGTTAGCAGGCAGGTCTTAAACACTGTGCCACCAGGCAGCCTCTGTGACAAAGAGTAAAAGGTGGAATTCTGGTTCCATGGAAAAGGAGACTGTACATATTTATTAAAGAAAGTAGTTGGACTTTTTGCTGCATTTTATTACCTTACGAGGATGTTTTTAAAAAAACTGATGCAATTAAAAAATATAGCACATATTTATTTTTGAGGCAATTATTGGTATTTGTGTTTCTTAGTTATTTAATACTTGTTTTGATAAAACAAGGTAACTGTAGTCTTTTGATCTTATAAAACTAGTGACTTTATATAAATACTTTTGATTTCAACTCTAAGAACAGATTAGTTATGCTTACAATGAATGTGCATAGTGTCTGCACAGTGCCTGGAAGGGAAGAGATGTCTCTTCTAGGTGGATTCCCTGTCCTTTCTCAGCTGCCTGTGATCTCTGTGGCCCAGGGATGTAGACACTCCCTCAGAGGCATTTGCTTCCTAGATATACAGACAACATCCAGCTGGCTTAGCGGGAATGCATGCATGCCAAAGGGAAAGCACAATTACTACTGCTACACTATGGACGAGATCAGCTCTTTATTTTCTCCACTGGTTTGTTTTAACACCAAGGGACAAATCAGCAAAAGTCTGAGAATGAAGACAGTCTCAGAGATACCCTAACACAAAAACATCCCCCCCCCAAACTCTGGAAGGCACTACAGCAATACAGAACTAGAGTTCTCCACACAGTGTCAACGTTTTATCATTAATGGGACACAGTGGATGGAGGAAAAGCTTAAGCAAGTGCACTCCACACTGAATTCTGGAATGAGAATATGAAATTTCAATTGACAATGTTTTCTAGTCCGTGAGATCTCCCATCATAACTTAACTCCAGTTGTCTAATTTGGTTAGCATAGTTTAGGAGATTCTGAGATGAGTAAAAATGCCACACTTAATGAGAACTAGTGCATCTGTGGACAATTACAAAAGTGCTGCAAGCTTTAATGATCCTGCAGTTAGTATACCAACAATTTTTAAGAAGAGAGCAAAATTCATGGTCTTGGTCTTGGGTACAAAGCAGATACTGTAGTCTAATACTTTACCTGTTACTGCTCCCCAACAAACTAGAAAATACAAGATCATTTAGTAATGTGATTCTAATACATTAGAAATGACAAAACTCCCACTTTTCAATTCTAAACAGGAGAACAAAGATAACACACTGGTCAATCCGGACAGTGCCTTGACCTCTGAAAGTTCAGCTCTGACAGGCTCCTCGTGTTCTGTCTCAAATAAACATCTGGACTTAAAAGAGGAGCCCACATGACCCTTAGACTAAATATTCTGACCATATGAAGATTCAGTGGCCAGTGCTGTGCTCAACAAGGGAATGTTCAGGATGGCAGGGTGCAGTCCAGCCAGATTTAAAATATCAGGGAGCACCCTCGTTTTCCCCACGTTAAAAAAAAAATCAGGAAGGTCTTCCTTCTGTGAGCAGCTGAAGGAAGTGGTTAAGCAACTCAAAATGCCAAGACTTTAGGTGTGCTGAGGCATTGAAATAGACTTAAGAGGAGGAATGTCATATTGTATGGACAGGCTCAGAAAAGTACTGGTTAAAATTCAGTAGCATTTACGGTAAGAGGAAGTCACAGGCCAGGAAAGTGGAAGCATGAGAAGAAAAAAAATGGTGGTCTATTACTTTCTTTTGTGACAGGCTGCTCAAGAATGAATCTTTGTTAGTGTTTTGAAGGAGGTTGGGGAAAAGCATGTATGCAAATAATTGAGATTGAGAAACCAACCTCCTCTACCAAGAGCTGGAATGAGGTGGAAAATACCTGGAAAACAATTTTACAGCTAGATGGGGAAAATCCAGTAATAAAACATACAGAGAGATAACATTAAAGTACAGTAAAACGCCACAAAACCCAGAAGCTGGATAGACAGACAGACAAAACTGGATTCTTCTGAATGTGCCCCAAGAGAAAGTAGTGTTTCAACAGTTCTCTTAACGCGGAGGTTTAGCTGAAGGATGTCGGAAGGGGAACAAAGATTGTCCTGTCCACAGTGTGAGCAAGAAAGGAAAACAGAAAAACAAAGTCAGTGGATCAGAAATGCAGACTTGAGTATAGATTTTTAAAATAAGATCATCTCAATCATGTTCTAGGAAATACATTCTGTAACATTTTTCTATAAAAATGAAAACAAAATAATGCTGAAAAACAAAGCTCCCAGAATCTTTTCTCTTTGTGTTCAGCTTGATTTTACTACTAAACAGCAGAGTAAAACTGGCTTGCCGGCTATTATCATGCACATTAAAGACACAATATTAAGTATGCTTACTATACTATGTATTAATGTATAATAAGAAAACAATGTTGGCTTAGGGTGAGTGAGGCCTGGGAGTGTTGAGGCCTGCATGAGGCAACCTTTTCCTGGCTTCTATCATTCTTCCCTGTTAGTAAAAGTAAAGACAAAAATTGTGAGTAAATAAAGGGAATCTTAAGAGTAAGCCAAATAAATGACAAAGGCTCACAGAATGAGAAGAGTCTAATAATTTGAGGACATTTACTGCACAGAAGCCAGATGAGCTGAATGATTGGGTGGTCCTGTAACATTCAAGTTTATAATAACCACATCCAGTTCACTATATCTACAAAATGAATCCAGTGATGAAAAGGGTCTTTAAGATATTATCCAATCCTCCATTTCTAAGTGGAAGAACTATAGTAAGTAAAGGCATTCTTGAACCCAACAATAATAACATAATCTTTTTTTTTAATAACATAATCTTTAACATATAATAATAACAACTCTAAGACAAAATATTAGATTCAAATAGACATATCACCCATTAGGGCTCTGAATATGACATATTTAATAATAAAAATAAAATGAACACTCATCAAGGATTTCTAATAGTTATTTTGATCTTTAATGCTTCATTAATTTAAACTGTGTAACATTTAAAAAATTATACTGAAAAGAGAAACTGTTCACCATTATGAGTATTTCTTGGCAAAATATTTATAATATTAATCTTTAGGTTTTTAAAAATGATTATTATTACAGCCCTGATTTTTTTTTTTAATGTCAAATAGTACAAATGGGTATTTTTTTAAACTGAAATTTTAATGAACCTTTATAGATTTTGGATTTCCATCCATTGGTTGTTGCACATTTTCCTCCCTGCCCAGACCTCCTGCCAGTTATTCTTTTTGAAAAGTAAAAAAAACAACAACAACAACAACAAAACTTTCATAATTGTAAAATCCCACCCTCCAAGTCCACTCCCCCATGAAGCGCTCATTCTCGACTCTTATCATGAAAATAATACCTAATCATACATTTCTTTCAAACAGTTCTCTCCCTCATCTGTTTCAATGCAGCAAATGGGGATTTGTAAGTGTAACGGTCAGCATGCCCAGAAGTAGGGGACAAGAAAAGAAAGGGAGTTGATTTCTTCTTTGTTTGGCCAAGGGACATGAGGGATTCTGAACCTAGAGATATTTCTATTTATTTTCCTTCCACTATTCTAGGCAGATGATCAGTTCTTTAGCAGAAGTAGTAACATGACAGGAAACCATCTAAAAGTGGTGCTTGTGGTAGTGGTGGAAGAGCCTGGGCAGAGGAGACAGGGAAGAGGCAGCCTGTGAGGAATGCCCATTTCCTCCTCCTGGCAGGGTAGAGGGAGGAGGAAGGCTGTGTCAATAGCTTAGTCTAACCACTTAAGAAAAGTTCAGTCTTCAAAAATTCTCCATTCCCCCCACCCCCTTTTATCTTTGTAAAACACTTTGGGAGTAAGACAGCTCTGGGAGGAACAGGGTAGGCTAGCTGAGGAGAAGTACTGGTAACTACTGCTGGGCAAATGCGGAATTAACTTTATTTTTTAGCACACTGGTTTTGTGTTAACAGGGTCTGGTCCAGTCACTAGTCCATGTGGAGGTGCACCACTACGCCTCTCTGGTGGTTCAACCCAACCGCAGCTCTTCAGGAGAAAGACGGGCAATCTCCTCTAGTGCAACTCAGAGCCTTGGAAACCCACTGGAGAGTCAGTGATTAGTTGTTCGTAACTCAATGACAGTGAGAACAACAGGGCAATTCTGGAAGATTTCAACTGCTGGGACTTTGAATCTCAGACAGATGCTGGCGCTGTAAGACCCAGTGGGCAGGTATAACCTGACCAAAACCATATTAGTTGCTATTGAGTAGCAATTAACTCCAAATCAGAGTGACTCTCCAGGATAGCGCAGAACTGCGACACAGAGCCTCCAAGGCTGACATCTTCACAGAAGCAGACTACCACGTCTTTCCTCTGCAGTGTTACTGAGAGTTTAAGCTCCTGCTGGTTTGGGTTAGGGGCCAAGTGCAGAAGCACTGCCTCCCCAGGGCTCCCTGGGGGCAGGTAAAATGACGGGAAAAGCTGATACCATTTGTGGTACTGTCCCCTTAAGTGGGGCTTTCCCAGCACCTCTAAGGGTACAATCTGTCTTTCAGTATGTGGTTCCCGTTCCCTGCAGCAACCCCTGCCATATTTGCTTGTTCAAAGACATTATGGTTCACAACTGAAGCAGTTGCTGGACACATTTATAAAACATAATGACTGGGTGGGAACATACTCAGTACAGAGAAGAAAGGGAAGCATGGACGTAAATGTGCTCATATGAAAATCAGAACTGGCATGCTAGTGTGGATAAAATGCATATTGTTAGGTTAGAAATCTTAGTGAATGCTCTCAATAGCTTTAAAATGGTCTGGACTGAAGTAGTGATGACATTTTTTTGGTAAATCATATCTGACTCAAAAAACAACAACAACAACAACAACAAAAAACAAACAACACAACCCCAAAAAACCATTCATTTGAATTTGTTAGTAAGAATAAAAACATTTTTTGACACCACTAAATATAAATTTCAGTTCTGTTATAAATCAGTTTAAAAAAAAAATATAAGAAACCACCTAGATGGCCACTTCCTATTCCTAAATAGAAAAATCACAAGTGATTTAACTAAAGAAGAAAAGGACCCAGGAGGACTCCCACTGACTACTGAAGGGGCCCTACGGAATTGAGCAGTGCTGGACAAAGGCTTAGCTTTGCCAGAATTCATGCGGTTGTTTTGTCCAGGGGCCAATCTTGGATTTCTGACATCTAATTAAGAAAGAGATTGAAAAGTCACTCATTTTTTTCCTTTGAGGTTGGGCAAAGTGTAAGAATTATAATGGTCGTGGTTAATCAAAGATTAAGGACTGTAATGATTGTGGTTAATTAAAAAAAATTAAATTGCATGGAGTTGTCTTTAAATGTGTACAGAAATCATGTCATTCAGTATTTTATTTGTTAAAAATACTATGCTTTATCTAATACACTGAAACAGTGTATCAAGTTCTTGTCCCTTAATTTCTTCTATAAATAAAGTTTAACTATTTTACCATTAAATGAAAAACCTGGAGGTAGGTTTCTCATCTTTCACTGAGAAATGTGGAGGCAATTAATTCTAACAACAGGGGGGAAAAGGCTGCTTTTGTGCCAAATTCAAAAGTATTAGAATTTAATGGAAAATCTGGTAAATCTAAATAGAACCTCTGATTTAGTTAACTGTACTGCCCTAATGCATCTAAGAGCTGGACAACGAAAAAGGATGACATAAGAATTGATGCCTCTGAACTGTAGTGTTGAAAAAGAGTCCTGAACACTCCATGGATGGCCAAGAGAATAGGTACGTCTTAGAGAGTGTTCGGTTGGAGTGTTCTTTGGAGGCAAGAATGATGAGGCTTTGCCTCACATGCCTTGGGCATGTTGCTAGAAGGGGCTATTTCTTGAAGAGGGACATGATGCTTGGAAGGGTGGAGGGTCAGCAAAGGAAAGGAAGACCAGGAGGACTGACTGACAAAGAGACTGTTGTGATGGGCTCAAGTGTGTCAGAAGTGTGAAGATGGCACAGGATCGGAAAGGATTCAGATCTGTTGTTCATAGGGTTGCTGTGGATTGTACTCAATTTGATGGCACCTACAACAACAACAACTATAACACACTGACCTAATGTTATTGAGTATGGTTGTTATGTCCCACTGAGTTAGAACCAACTCATAGCTGACCCTCTGGAGGCAGTAAACTGCACAGAAGGAGAATGCCCATCTTTTTCCTGTAAAGTGACTGGTGGATTTGAACTGTGTACCTCTGACTCAGCAGTGTAGCACCTTACTCACTAGGCCACCAGAACTCCCTGTGGATAACAGTACTATCTTTCTCTAAGATGTTGACATTAGGGGAAGCTGAATGAAGTAGAATAGAAACTTTGTCTTATTTTTGCAGTATTTCTGTAAGTCTAAAAATATATATATATTTAAAAAAAAGATTCAAAGCATTAAAAAACCAGAAGCCCACTGAAGAATTTTCAATCTGCAATGCGCTTATTTTGAAGGCCAGATTTTCTGTTGTATATATAGTTAATTTTAGCTTAGTAAAATGTAATTAGTAGTTGTATAGGTTGTTGGGGAATGTTACTCCACTGAGTAAGTGGAGCTGTTCAGAGAAAGTTACTAGATGCTGTCAAGATGGTAGAATGACATATTTGCTATGCAGTTAAAGATGCTATTTTAATTTGTATTTTGGGGAATACCTGTGTTGAGTTGATAAACATTTCCATATCCATTAAAATCGCTTCCAAACTCATGAAAAGAAAAAAAAAAAGATGGTAGAATGAAACACTGCCCCGTCCTAAGCCACCTTCATGATCACTGACATGCCTGAATTTCAGCTTTTGGGCCAGTGTGAATAGGTCAGATAAAATTTTTGTTATCATTTACTTAGCTTTTATTATGATATAAATAAATGTATATGAATATTATTTCTAAGCTTGGTCCTTAGAAATTATTAAGGAATACTTTAAAAGTATATTGACTTTGGTCACTCATGCAAATAATTATTAACTTAGTTCAGAGGCAGTTATACAAATACAAAGGCTTGCATTTCTGAAATATTTTAGAAAAATAATATCCAAGTTTATTTAGACAACAGGAAAGATGATCCATTAATTACCTGAGGTACACCAATTTTTCTGCAAGCTTCTAGGAAATTTTCTACATTGCGCCTGCATTTGGCCATTGTTAATTTAGGCTGCAATAAGAAAAGGAAAAAAGAAGAATGGTGTTATTGTTAAATATGGCATTTAAAAATACTCTTTCCAACTGCTTCATAAAGTCCTAACATTCTAGGCCAGGGTTCAGCAAGCATTTTCTTAAAGGATCAGATAACATACTTTTGGCTTGAGTCTCTCTTAGGATCTCTTATTTCAATTACTTAACTTTGCTGTTACTGCTTAAAAGCAGCCACAGATAACATGTAAACAGGTAATAGGTAAAAAGATACCATGTAAGTGTATTCCAATAAAACTTTACCTTAAAAAAAATACATGTCTCACATGTGGGTCATAGTTTGCCAATCCTTAGCAGAATTTACATGACAAATATGAAGCAGAGAAATGAGGAGGGAGAGTATAGTTTTGTGTTTCTTTTCCCATTTTTTTTATTTTTTTAAATTTTATTTTATTATTTTTGTGTGAGTGTACCGTCAAATCAGATCTGACTGGTACAGGAGGAGATTGTCCCTCCTTCCCCGGCACAGCATCTGGTGGATTCGAACCGTGCGCCTCCTGGGATTGTAGTTGCAGGTCCTTGCCACTAGGCCACCAAAGCTCCCCTTTCTTTTCCCATTTTAAAGCTAAATTGAAATTAAAATTAAATTTGTAAAATACCAAGACCACGAATTATATAGCTTTATAATTAAAATATAGTAAGAGTTAACATTTTAACTTATAAAAAAAATTCAAACCAACAGCATTTGCCCATATATTGGCTACATAGGCACTAGCAAAAATAAGTTATTAAAGTAAGTGTTAAAGAACCTAAGTTCAAGATGATGACATTTTCCCCCAGAAAGTTTCCCTAATTTCCTCAATGGAAGGATTCTCAATGAGATGGACTGAATGACTTACAGCAAAGGGCTCACGTGTGTCACAGACGATGAGAATGGAACAAGGGTTCAGACCTGTTGTTCACAGGGGTGCTGGAGATGCACACAACTCGTCAGCACCTAACAATAAGCGTGTTTTTCTAAACACAACTCTAATGACTGGAAATATGGACATGTATCAGGTGAATCACAGCTTCATCGAGTGGATTAAAATGGGGTATAATGTAAGGAAGAAATTTCTTACTGCTATTCAGATCCCATTTTCTAGAATAATTAAAAAACCCAACCTGATCTATTCATTAACTGGTTTTCAGTGTGTTGAAGCATCAGGCATGGAAGCTAGATATCTCAAGAAGGGTTTTCACAATGGTAAGGAGTAACAACTCTAGAGAAGAAGTTCTACTTGTAAATATTGGAGTTTTGTCCAAAAGTAAAATTTAAGAGCATTCTGTCACAAGAAGAGGGGGGAAAAGATAAATAACTAGTAGACAGTAGTAAAAATTTCTAAATTTTAAGTTGAAAAACTCAAAAAAAGTCCAGAAAGAGGACATAAGTTAGGTTTCTGTGATGGGCATTTGTTCTTGCCTGTGTCAAGTTCTCAATAATAGATATTAAATGTAAAAAATAAACAGTCAAATCATGATCTACTTAATGAAAGGAGAAAAACAATTAAAAAAAATTCATGCTGACTTTGGGTTCACTGCTACTTTTTAACATGTAAAGGCGATTAAAAGTTGCTTCTTGGGTAGATGATGCTATGTCCCACCCAACTTTTGGCTAGTTAGGGAGAAGAGGGGAAAGTTGAACAGGTAAAAAGAGAAAAATCACTAAGGTCAAAGTTACTTGGGCAAGAGTGGCTGGTTTCACATAGTCCCATTTCATAGAGCCTGCTCTGAACAAGAAATCTTATGGAGGTTTGGGGAAAAAGCAATTTCAACAAGACTAATCTATACCGAAAGGAACAATAAAAACAATTTAACAGTTAGAACTACCAGAAATAAAAGCTGTTTTTAGAAGAAGCCATGGAACTACGGACATCACTGCCAATGTCAGATGGATCTTGGCTGAAAGCAGAGTGCCAGAGGAAAGTCTATTTGTGTTTCACTGCGTATCCACTGTGACTGTGGATCACAATAAATTGTGGCTAACAGTGACAATCCTAGGACACTTGATTATGAACAAGCAAAACCTATACTTAGACTAAGAAGCAGTCATCAGAACAGAGCAAGGAAACACTGCCATGCTTCAAATCAAGAAAAGAGTGCATCAGGCATGTCCTTTCTCCAAACCATTTTTCCTTTACCTAGCCTAGTCATCCGTCTGTCCGTCCATCTGTCCATCCATCCATCCATCCCCTGCTCAAACTCCCCCAACTCGTTTTGGTTTCTAATAACTTACAGCTGTCCTCTTCTTTGGAGAACTGTCCCAGGCTCCTTTTTTCTTGCTGCCTGTAGACAATGGCTGAGCCCTTGTACCTCAAACAGAGCTAACTTTGTGATGCAATTCACATTCCAATGTCTCTGTGGCTATTCCAGCAGAGTCCAGATCTTATTCCACCCCCTACCTTCACTGTTTTCCTCACTATCTGTCTTTTGAGAGAACTCATTCAATATACTGTTCTTGTTGTTGTCGTGTAACATCGAATTGCAACTAATAGCTGACCCTCTCGCCAGGTTTTCAGAGGCAGAATCACTTAAGAGAAAAATAGCCAACTTTCCCACACAAAGCAGCTGGTGGATTCGAACAGCATGCCTTTGGGTTGGTTGGCAGAACAATAAACCACTGGAGTTTTCTTTCAGTGTATTAGGCATATCTGAATTCCCGTGTCACAGGCTCTGTTCTAGAAAACCTGACCAAGACATGGACTGAATATTAATCATATATAGTTACATTTTGTTAGTTGTTACTACTACCACCACCACCACCACCACCAAGGAGACTGTCTGTAATTTTAGAGGAGTTATGCCTAAATATTTATGTGCTTTGTATTAACTGCTACACGAAAATGCAACAGCTAAAACACATACATAAGATAAAACAGTGAGAAGAGCCTAACAAAATGTAATAAACATCAGAGCTAGAGAGAAATCTTAAAAAGTGTACATATGCTTTCAGTGTTTCTGAAAGTTTAAAATTTTTCATAATAAAAGTTTAAAAAAAAAACCCACCCCAACCCAAAATGGAGAGATTTGTCAAGCCAAAGCCTGCTTCCTTCTGTGGACTGCCATCCTGACGGCCGCCATGCAGCCCAGCCCGGCAGCACAAAGATGACTTGCTAGTCACCTTGAATGCATATTCTCCTTCATTTCCTCCCCGAAGCTGGGCACCAGGACATGTCAGTTCTACTCTCAACGAATTTTCTCAGTCTGTCTCCTCTTCTCACCCTCCCTCCCATGGCCCTAACCCAGCTTGTTATCTTCTCTAGTCTGGACCAATGCAGCAGACTCACCACTGGCCTTCTTTTCTCTAGTCTGATTACCTCAACTCTTTCTGCTACTCAGCGGCCAGCATGATCCTTTTAAACTGCAACTGCAATCGTATGGTTCTCCAATTTCAATTCTCCTATGGTTCCTCACTGTCTAGCTCCCTGACAAGGTAACAAGAGGTTCTTAGAACATGGCTCCTGGCTTCCACCTTTAGCTTCACCCTAAGCCATTTGTCTGCATAGGTTGTGCATGATATGAACAACCTAATTATGCCATGAATCTAGGAATTCTGACTTAGAGTACTGTCAAAAGAGCAGAAAAAGGTACACAGGGGCACTGGACTGTGATCAACTTTCTGAAAGGGCCAGAGTGAGAGTAGCACAGCCCTTCACTGCTTCGCAGCAAAAAGCAGATCTAGAGCCCATAGCCCAGCCCCATGGTGCCTCTAGATAGCTCAGCAGAAAGTGGTTTGCTTATTCATTGTTGTGTAAGAGACTTAGAGTTGTAGTACCAAAACCGGGGTTTACTAGGCAAGTAAGAATTAAGGGCACTAACTTTATACATGCTATCCAGCAACTAGCATAATGCTAGCCATCATACTTAATCAGTATCTCAGGAAATGTCAAACGTTTTTTAGCATTATGAACTTACGACAGCTGGTGAGGGAACATGAATGCTTGGGACAGATCGAGGCCGCACATGATTGGCCAAATGGCAGAGAACAACACCATCGGTCAGAGCTGCTCCAAGATCACAAGGCAGAGACACTTTCAACCGGTATTCAATATGCTAAAGAACAGGAAAACATGGAGCACATGAAGCCAAAAGTGATGACACGCTGGAGAGGCTGAATCAAAAACCAAGGGTATCTATCACACAGGCAATCACAAAGGATTTAGGTTCTTACTGATACACAGGATACATTTAATACAAAGCATGAAATGTATTATGTGAAAAGTGGATGATAGGATAATAGTCATATCCTGACACAAAGATATTTTTATTTAGAAATCTAGAAAAAAGCAAAAAACAGTTTATCTTTTTACCTAAAGTCAATACCCTGAGAATATCTGATTATAATACTGTAGTACTATAGTCAGGCTTCTGTAGCACAAACAGAAAGATATTTACAATTTTCTGCTAAAATGCTGAATTCTCTTTCAACTTCAATCTAAACACTTATCATTTTATATCTATATGTAAGGACAGTACATTTGTGTAGCCATACATAACTTACTTTAACTCTTCTAACCCTATGCAATCCACTTCGTAGTCAACAGCTGAAATTTCCTTATTAGCAAACTTTCTTTTACATTCATCACAAAATGGATTACATTCAACACATAGTGGATTCTACTGAAAATTATGACAGTATCACTAAGAAAATGGGATTCAAAGATAAGATACACACTTTCCGGAGCTGATCTATTAATTCCAGCTCTTCTTCTCTCTGTCTTGAACTCTGCCTTGTTATGGAATCTGTAGAATCAGTGGTAGGAGCTGATGACAGGAGGGGTGAAACATGACCTAAAATAATATTAATATATATTATGTTGTGGTATACAAAAGTAATATGTAAATTCACATTTCTGAATTTAAAACTGCTAGTGTACAAAAGTTCAAATTAAGTAGGTAAAGTCTTTCACACCAATTTATAAATGTAGCACTATGCCTTACTGAGTTAAATGATTAAGGAGCTGTAATGCTACAGTGGTTAAGTACTTGGCTGCTGACTTAAAGGCCAGTGGTTCAAACCCCCAGCCACTCCACAGGAGAAAGATATGACAGTCAAAACTGCACCCTTGAAATGGTATAGGTCACATCTATAGGAGCATCATGAATTCAAACAGACTCAACAGGGACAAAAACATAGAAGAATTTGAAATGTTCACTTCGACTTTTAAGTAACTTCTATTGGCACCAGGCAAATAATCTGCCATATTAACCAGAAGAATGTGACAGCTACAAAATTACCGATGCAGATGAGGGAATTTGAGGTTTAAGATGGTGGACATAAAATAAAAAGAAAAAAGATAAACAACAATTTAGAGACCAGAAAACAAAGATAACAGATAAGAATTCTGGAAGCCTGCGTTTAAAAAGGAAAAGATAAAGTAGTTCAAATACTGCCTGATGGAAGAAACAGAAGGAAAACATGGAACTCGGAGATAGGAGTGTAACACCACGAGTCAGGCAGATTATTCTGAATAGCTATCAGATCAGTGCACTGGAACCCAGGATTGTAGCGCTATCCACACAGCAGACATCTAACGACAAAAAAGGTTTAATCTCCCTGACTTGGTCTCCATAGCCCTGGGGACAAAGGGAGTAACTTTTTCCACCACCATCTTCACTCATTAGGTGTTTGGCAGTGTTCCCCAAGCACTTCTCAGCTCCACTGGACCAGAAAGAGGATGACATGACACCCAGAAATTAATTCCCGGAGTTAGCAGGCTACAATCTGCCTAGCCTGCAGTCAGGCCTATGATTAATGGGCGCACCACCTGTGACTGGAGTTCTTGCCTCTCATGGGACACCCCTGCTTGGCACAAGCCACAGTCACTACTGGAGCAGTGCATTCTGTGGAATGTACCATCCTTGGGCATCGCAGGTTGGCAGGAACGGTCTCTTCACATTACCCATCATGTGATCAGGCACCCTGGTTGCACTTACTCCATGCATCCCTAGCCAGGTGGGTTATCCGAGAAACACCAACCAAGGCTGAGTGCCCGATCCTTCAACACTGCTCTAACGAAAGAGGTGCAGTCTGAGGTTAGGCTCACTTCTTTGGGTCTCAGCCATCTCTCAAACCAGCACAAACTCTAACCTGACGGGGTGCTTCAATATTCTGCTGGGCTGATCACACTGGTCCATGCCAGACTTTACCTCCACAACCACAGCAGTGGCAATATCACCAATCAGGTGCCCAGCGCACCTCCTTCCAAGGATTTTTCTTCTTCTCCTCTCATTTTAAATTTCCCATCACTTTTGAATTTTTGTTCACTTCTAATATTGTTCTTATTTATTAGATTTCTTCCATCTTCTCTCTTTTCTTTGCTGGTCTTTTTGTACCCCATTTTCTCTCTTCATTTTTAACTTTCTATTCTGATTCTCCTCTGTTTGGTACCCTCTCAGTTTTGATCTATTTTCTTTTATCATCCAAGCTTTATTTTTTTAAAAATTTTATTTATTATTTTTGTGTGCGTGTACCGTCAAATCAGATCTGACTGGTACAGGAGGAGATTGCCCCTCCTTCCCCGGCAGAGCATCTGGTGGATTCGAACCATGAGCCTCTGGGATTATAGTTGCAGCTCCTTGCCACTAGGCCACCAGAGCTCCCCCCAAGCTTTATTTTTTGATTGTTTTGTTCCTCTTTTTCTTTCTTCTATCTAGCAACAGATAGCAATAACATCCACTCACAAATACACATCACATCAGGCAACACTAAAGACTAGCTCTAGCTCCCCATGATTGACCAAAACTGCAACCAACACAGGTTCAGCACATTCTCAACAAATCAACAGGAACAATAAGCAGAGAACCACTCACTCAAGAGATGACAAAAAGGGAAATACTAAGAATCACCACATGAGCAAGTAATAGAACACACAAAGCTCAACATATGTATAAAAATAATAATAATAATAATAATAATAATAATAATAATAATAATAATAATAATAATAATAATAAAAATAATGCCATCACAATGTCTCGGATGTAATGGATAATTTTAAGCCACTTAAAATATCATGTTATGATGGCACAAAAAAAATATTCAAAATACAGAACTAGCAGAGGAAGAAAATCTATTAGAACTTCCTGATTAAGGAATTAAAAAGAATGATAATAAAAAAAAAAAGAATGATAATTAAGTATCTCTTAAAGACTGACAAAAACAAAGGAAAACAATGGGGGGGAAAAACACTCCATGCAAGTCCAGTCACCTGTGACTCACAGCAACCACTGCCCTGTCCTGAGCCAGTTTCATTGATTCTAACACACCTACTCCCATTACCCATTATAGTGTTAATCCATCTCATCTGAAGCCTTCCTCTTCTGTGCTGTCCCTCCAGCCTTCCAAGCATGATATCCCTCTCCAAGGACTGGTCCCTCTAGGCCACATGCCCAAAGTGTGTGAAACTAAGTTCAAAATCCTTGTCTCCAAGAAGCCTGGATTCACCCTCTCCAAGACAGATCTGTTTGTTCTTTTGTTGGTGCATAGTGTATGTTCAATACTCTTCTCCAGCACCACAACTCAAAGGAATCAATTCTTCTATCATCCTTAGTCACTGTCCAGCTCTCTGATGCATGGCAAGAAACAGTAAAAAACAGGGCCTAGATTAGGAACACCTTAGTCTCTAGACTGCTATCATTGCTCTTTAGCACTTTGGAGAGGTCTCTGACAGCACACATCTCCAATGATTTTTGGACTGCTGGTGTCAAGACTGTTTATTGTGGAGCCAAGCAAGCTGAAATTGTTAACAACCACAATCTCTTCTCCATCTATCATGGCGCCTCCAATTGGTCCAGTGGTGAGAATCTTTGTCTTCTTCATGTTGAGCTTCAATTCATATTGACGATCACAATCCTTGACCTTCCGCAGCAAACACTTCAGATCCTCCTCCATTTCAACAACCAAGATTGTGTCATCTGCATAACAGTTTGTTGATGAATCTTCGTTTGATCCTGATGCCACAACCTTCTTCATAAAGTCAAGCCTCCCGAATGATCTGTTCCACAAACAGATTAAAAAGGTACTGAGACAGGATGCATCCCTGATGCACTCCTTTCCTGATTCTGAACAATGTCATTTTTCCTTGCTCTGTCCTGAAGACTGCTTCCTGATCCAAGCACAGGTTTTTCATGAGCACAATCAAGTGTTCTGGGATTCCCATTCTCCTTAAAGTTAGACACAGTTTGTTGTGATCCCCACAATCAAATGCCTTTGCATGTCAAATGAAACACAGACATTCTTCTGGTACTCTGGTTTCTGTAAAAATCCATCTGACACTGGCAATAATATGTCTAGTGCAACAGCCTCTTCTAAAGTCAGCTTCTATATCTGGTAGTTCTCTGTTATTGTATTGTTCTGGTCATTTTTGGAAAATCTTCAACATGATTTTGCTGGCAGGTGATATTAGCGATATTGTTCAATAATCTCCACATTGTCGGGTCACCTTTTTTTTGAACGGGAATAAATATGGTTATCCTTCAGGCAGTTAGCCAGGTAGCTGTCCTCTAAATTTCTTGGCACAACCTGGTAAGCCCGTCCAGGGCAGCGTCTATTTGTGAATGAAATATGTCAATTGTCCATTAATTCTTGGAGTCTTGTTCTTTCTCCAGTTTCTTCAGAGCAGCTTGAAATTCCTCCTTCATCACCACTGGCTCTTGATCATATGTTGTTTCGGGAAATTCTTCGAGTCAGTCAGTTCTTTTTTGATATAGTGACTCTGTGTACTCCTTCCATCTTCTTTTAATTCCTCCTGGATCATTCAATATTCTGCCCATAGCATCCTTAAGTATTACAACTTAAGTCTTGAATTTATTCTTCAGTTCCTTCTTCAGCAAGATTTTGCTGGCATGTGATATTAGTTAGTGTTTGATAATTGCCACATTGTCTTTGCACATGTCATTATAATAATCTGCTTTGTCTTCCCAACCTGCCCTTTGAAATCTTCTGTTCAGCTCCTTAACTTCCTGCTTTCTGCCTTTTGCTTTGGCTTCTAGGCACTCTAGTGTAATATTCATTCAGTCTCTTCTGACTTCCATCTCGGTTTTTTCTTCCTCCGTCTTTGTAACTTCCTTCTGCATTCATCATCAATGATATTCTCCCAGAGCTTATCAGGTCTTCATTCATTAGTGTCCAAGGCTTCAAACCTGTTCTTGAGATGGTTCTTAAATTCAGGTGGGATAGACTGATGGTCAAATTTTGGTTCCTGTGTGTTTGATTTAACCCTCTTTAGCCTTAGTTTGAATTTGCATATAAGTACTTGATGGTCTATTCCACAGCCTACCCCAGGTCTAGTTTTCACAGCTGATAATGAGCTTCGCCAACCATTCTTTCTACAGAAGTAATCGATTTGATTCCTATGCACATTTTCAGATGAAATGCACGTATATAGTCAATGTTTATGTTTCTTATAAAGGTATCTGGAATGAATAAATCACTGATGGTACAAAATTCTATCATTCTATCTCCAGCCTCATTTCTGTCACCAAATCCATGTTTTCTGACTACAGATCCTTCTTTCCTATTCCCAACTTTTGCATTCCGGTCACCCATTATTATTAATATATCTTGGCTGCATGTCTGATGAACTTCTGCTTGCAAAAGTTGATAGAAACCATAGATTTCCTCCTCTTTGGCTCTGGTTGTTAGTGCATGTATCTGAATGACAGTATTCATCAGACTTCCTTTTATGTGTATGGATATTATCCTGTCACTCACAACAGTGTATTTCAAGATGGATTTAGAAATTACCTTTTTAACTATGAAAGCGACCCCACTTCTCCTCACCTTTCATCTCTGGCGTAGTAGTTCACATGATTGTCTGATTCAAAATGTCCTATGCTAATCCATCTCATTTCACCAATACCGAGTACGTCAGTATTTACTCATTCCGTTTCTTTCTTAACAATGCCCAATATTTCTATACTCATGCTTCTCACATTCCAATCATCGGGGTCTGACTACAGCTGTTCCTCCTCATTTGTGTTTCCAAGTTTTAGAGCTCAGCCTCAGGTGCCATATCTAACCTTCAAAAGTCCTATGTTTAATAGAGCACACTTAAGAATAGACTTGATACAAGACCTAATAAAAAATTATTGAGTCATTTAAGGACAGAAAACAAGCTTTTATAACCAAAGAGAAATAAAAAAAAAAAAAGAATTATTTCAGAGAAAAGAAACACTCTCTAAAGCCTTAGTAGCTAATTTTATCCACTCAAATACTATCAGGTGTTACTGAGAGACTTTCTAATAAAAAACTCAGAGTTAATGTCAATAAGATCACAAAACTGAAATGAGTTTAAAGCTTTGCAAAGGACCAAGCTCCCCACAGGAATTCAAAAGCATGTAACAGTTTAAGTCCTCTGCTTTTTTTCAGTCATACTACTGTTAACGCACTCCCTCTCTTACTGATTGCTATCAAGTCAGAACCTACTTGTAGCTGACTCTTCAGCAAGTTTCTGAGGCTTGCAAACTGCACAGAGGTAAGAATGCCCATCTTTCCTCCTTGGACCAGAAGGTGGATTCAAAAGCCAAAGCAGCAGAGCCTCTAGGGTAGCAACACAACTTCCTACACACTCTGCCACCAGAATTCCCTGTTGTTGTTACCAGATGCTGACAAATTAATTCCACTTCCTAGTGACCTATGGGTGTAGAGCAGAACTGTTCCAGAGGGTTCTGAGAAGAAATTCACCAGGACTTTCTTCAGAGGTGCCCTCTGGATCAGTATAGACTGCCAAGATTTTGGCTATTACTCAAATGCTCAACAACTTGCACTACATAGGAACTCCTTAATCACTACTACCTACCTTTATTTGTTTCTGCCCTGACAGCTGCTCGGAAAAGGAAGCTTTCAGGGCGCTGGAGCTGGTTTCTCTGGATAGCAGCAGCAGGAAAGGAATATGCAGGGGAATGATGAACTAAATCAGCATGGAAAAGCAAAATAACATTAAAGAATATAGAAAGAAAATTAAATAAAATAGAAGACACGCTAGCCATAAAAAAGTTTAGTGAACAGAAAATAAAGAAAATAAAATTAAGTATGGTGATGAAATAATTTTATTAATGCAAGTATGATGCAGAAAAGTTAGCATTAAAGCAGGTACGCTGGCTGCATTTACTTGTTTTTAACTGTCAGGTTATTTTTGTTTATAGTAGTAATTCAGAATAAATATTAGTATGTAAAACATTGTTTCCTGCAAACCAGAAAGTGATTGGAAAGACCAGGGATGTCCTGTTAGAGTATGTTTACTTATCATTAACAAATGCCTGAATAATGAATAAGCATAGAATATGTACCAAAAAACTACCAATTTTTGTCTAATTTCCAGTTTCAGAACATTAAGTAAGAAGTAGCTATCAGAAAAATCCTTAAGAATTCCTAATTTTCATGTGATTAACTGAACTTTTGTTAGTATTACCTGTTTCTATCGTAGGTGAACTTGATGAGCCATTAGACCTGCTGTCACTCTGTAAAGAAACAGATATGTCACTAATCATTATTCTCCAGGAAGAAGTTGTTAGGTGCAGTCAAGTTGACTATGACTCATAGTAACCCGAGGGGCAACAGGGTGAAACCTTGCCATTCCCTGCACCACCTCACAATCTCCACCACCCCCAAGCCCACTGCTGCAGTCACAGTCAATCCATTTCATTCTCTCTGTTGCTGACCTTCTATCTTTTCAAACAAGTTATCTACTTCCTACGATCGGTGCCTCTTGACAAAGTATGTGAGGCAAAGTTTCACCATTCTTGCCTCTAAGGAACACCTTTTCCATATTTATAGTAGTTGTCATTATATTTAGATGTATTTTATAATAAGTTTTTATTATATTTTTAATAAAAAGTGCAACTCACCTTTAAAAATTAGTATTTGGTAAGATAAACGAATGTTTAAAAGTCTTCTTTTCTCTAGGTCAAATCTCATTTAACTGGGCAAAATGCCAGAAGATTCATGTAAAAATATTTTATAAAGATAATCTTAAGGGAGCTCTGGTGGCCTAACGGCAAGAAGTTGCACTGGAATTCCAAAGGATGTGGTTTGAATCCACCAGATGCTCCGCTGGGAAGGAGGGGTAATCTCCTCCTGTGCCAAGTCAGATCTGATTCCACGGCACATTGAGTTAGAAAAAAAAGACAGTCTCATTATCAAAGAGGCTAACTTGAGAATGTGAAAATCAGTCTAAGGCAGAAATATTTATAAGAGAAAGAATAAAATTTCCAAGCTGTTTTTCTGAAATAGTTACTGAAGTGTATTTTCTTCGGACAATAAACTTTGATGGTTTAATAAAGTGACAGAAGTTTCTTTGTTTCAGTTAGGGGGAAAAAAACCTATGCAAGAGACAACAGTATATTTTCCAGTATTGTGATGGGGAAGTCTGCTGTTAGGGACCTCTCTAAAGTACTCAAGAGCAACGGTATCTCTCTGGAGACTAATACAGGCCATGGTTTTTGCAACCACTTGTTATGCATCAGAGAGTTGGACAATGACTAGGGAGGATAGAAGGAGAATTGACGCCTTTGAGCTGTGGTGCTGGAGAAGAGTACTGAATGTACCATGGACTGCCAAGAAAACAGATACATCCTAGAGAGGGTTAAACCAAGCTACTCCTTGGAGGCAAGGATTCTGGGGCTTCATCTGACATACTTTGGACATGTTGTAAGGAGAGACAGGTCCTTGGAGAAGGACATCATGCTTGGTAGGGTAGAGGGACAGAGCAGGAGGGGAAGACCCTCTATGAGGTGGACTGATTCAGTGACTGGGGTAATCGGGATGGGTGTGTCAGAGACAATGCGACTGGCACAGGATAGAGCAGGGTTTAGGGCTGCTGTACATAGGGTTGCTACGAGTCGCAAACGACCCGACAGCACATAACAACAACACAACAACAGTACTTAGATACAAGACATTTTGAAAAGTCATTAACAAAATATATTACAGGTTCTTAATATTTAGAGTGAGATTTAACTTTTCTAAAAGGTAAATTTATCATCCCATAACATGACCGCTGATATAAAGCTGGGTGTGATAAATTATTTTCTTAAAGATTAGATAATAAATATTTTAGGTAGCCCTATGATTACTGCTTAAGGCATTCTAACACGCCATTCTGTGTGAAAAGAAAACAATATATAAAACAAAGGGAAGTACCTATGTGCCAAAACGTTATTTTTTTTTTAAAAAAAACAGCTGGCTTGGGAGAAAGGAAAGAGAGGGAGAGGGAAGAAAATGTGCATTGATGAATAAATGATAATCCAACCTTTTTGTAAACTTTTGTTAAAAATCACAATTAAAAAAATTCAAAAACCCAAACCAACCAAACAAAAAATATCAGTTGGGCATGAGACCACTGTTATTGAAGGTTTTAGCAGTGAAGGCTCTGGAAATTGGACTAAAATATTTTGCATGGCATGTGAGACAAAATTTAATATTTTATCCAAAATAAAACAATGCCTATGAAAAAAAATGATAAATTAAAATAAGGTTTCTATTTCAAACAGAATAAAGAATTAACTGTCTGTAACCATTTGGGGCATGAAGTAAATTGTAGTAAGCTCAAACAGTTTCATAAACTTAAGTATATTTTATGTTATCTTAGATTTGAGACAAAATTTCAGACAAAAAATCTAAGCTCTCTCCTACATACCCTTCCTCCCCAAATTTCTCAAAAATTACATTAACAACATGAGATACCTTAAGAGGCGTGAAGGCAGAAGAATGAGGCAGGGTGGTACAGCCGACTTGATTCAACCCTGGAAGCGACTAAATTTCAAAAGAGGAAGAGAAAAAACAGCCGCATTTAGGCTAGCAAAATGGTTGGTGAAATTAGGAAAGGAAAGGCTATTTTTATTTTTCAAAAGGTTTTCCAAGATAAATAATAGTGTGGAAAGAAAATATTTTGGGAGAAAATCCAGCATATAAGACACAGTTTACCTTTCAAGATATGCAAATATCCTTCACTAATCAAGAAATGAGAACTATCATTTGTTAAAAATTCCTTTCTATCATTACGTGAGAAAGAGAGAACCTCACATTTTTAGACAAAGATTAAGAGAGAAAGATTGAGAGGAATGATTCTGTGTTGATTTCTGAGTCTGTTGAGAGGAAGTGAGAAAGATAAAATCAGAAAAAAGGGTTAATTTTAACTTTAATTTAAAAATCGTTAATTTTAACTGAGCAGAACTAGCATATATAATACTAATCCAGATTATATTTACTAGAATTAAATGTAATGTTTCTCGTGTAGGAAGAATCTGAAAAATCTGCATCACACCCTAAGAACAAACTAGCATTTAATTTTGACTTCTATGAGAGTCTCAAAAACCTACAATTAGGCGAAATTTGCCCTCCTCTTTTTAATTCTTTACCTTCTCATCAATCAAAACACAAGTAACTAGTTATTTTCAGACAGCTCTAGGTGCATTTGCAAAGACATGTACAGATTTACTGAATACAAGTGTTTTACAATTTATGTCATATAACAAAATTCTAAAGGGAAAGTTACTGATATTAAGTACTAGTATCTATTATATACAGAATTTTGATTACAGGTAAGGGCAGCATAAAAGTATAAATTTTTAAAGAATCTGGTGAAGAGTAGAAATAGGGGAAGACTGGGTATTAGTAAATAAGATCACACTCAAAATCTAAATAAAGCTTAAAGGTAGTAAAATCTTTATGAGTTAAAGAATTTTTAAAAAATGGAAACCTGGATCACAAATTTCTGATGGAGTTTATGTGAACATGGAATTAACAAGAACATGTAATCATTTAGGAAAAGGGAGGTTGTCAATAAAATAACTGTATGTTTAATAGTTATACTAAGGAGCTCTGGTGGCCTAGTGGCAAGAAGCTGTGCTGCAATCCTAAAGGAACACATTTTGAGGCCACCAGCTGCTCCGTGAGAGGAGTGGCAGTCTCTTCCCACGTGAATAACTGCTTGGGAAAACCTGCTGGAGAGTCAGCCATACATAACAACTACAGGTGCCCTAGCGGCAAAGAAGAGGACAGCTAGTGGAAAGGTCAGCAATTCAAACTCACCAGCTGTTCTGTGTCTCTCAAGACAGGCAGTCTCCTGCAATGATTTAAGTTTGTCACCATGAGCTGTAGTACACTGCTGAGTCAGAAGAGACCCAAAGCTGACACTCCAGCAGGTTTTCAGAGGCAGAAAAGCAAAGAGGAGGAGGCTAGCCTTCTTTCTTTCAAGGAGCAGTTAGTGAATTGGAACTACATTCCTTTGGGTTGTCAAGGCAACTCCTTATTACTAAGCCACACAACTTCCTCACCCTGAGTTGAAATGGAGTTCACAATGGTATATATATCTCTCATAGGGACACAATGGCACACAACAACAACAACAACGAATCATAAAGATCCCGTAGAATACTGTAAAGCTGCCCACAGGATTTCCAATTGTCACAGAAGTAGACTGCCTCATTCTGCCCCCCAATCCTGAGAAGCAGCTGGTGGATTTGGAGGACAGACTTTTCGGTTAGTATTCAAATTCTTTAACTACTATGCCATTATTGCTGCTTTAAGTCAGAACTGACTTGATGGCAATCAGAATGGTTTTGGTTTTCTGGAATGTATCCCAGAAACTATGTACAAAACTGAGTATACAAAAGCAAACACAACAGATAACAAGTTTGGGCCCATGAAGTTTAGAGTCAAGTAATATAAAAGGTGGAAAGATATACAACAATAAACACTCCAATGTAAGAACTATGAAGGAAGGAGAAGATCTGCCTGAAGGGGAAGACTGCATTAATGATGTGATATTTAAGTTGATATCTTATAGTTAAGTAGGAGTTAACCAGGGTACATATGCAGAAAAAAGAGGTATTTTGTGTAGAGAGAGCAGTGCTTGCAAGGTTTATGAGAAGTAAAAGTAGGTAGTTGCCACTGAGTCAACTGACTCATTGTGACCCAATGTTTTTAAATGATGTTTAGGAAGCAGAATGCCAGTTCGCTCAAGGGTTCATCATACATGTAAAGCTGGCATAGCATGAGTTCAGAGATGAGACTGGCAAAGTAGACAGCCAGAATATGCGTGAGCTCACACATCATGTTTAGAAGTTCAGATTATCTTTTAAAAGCAATATGAAGCCTTGAAGAGTAATTCTGAGCTGCTCACAGGTATGATTTAAAACACAACTCAAAAGACAGTGCTGGACACTATAAGACATAAAAAAAGAAACGTGAGGTATGATCCTTATTTCTAAGGGACATCACACACTTATTTTCCTTTGGTGTGGTCTACTCAACTAAAACTCACAGTGACATTATGAACAACACATCAGAACCTTGTGCTTAAATAGCAAGTATATGTGTTTTAGTAAATGGCCAAAAACTATTTTAAATGACACACTGAAAAGTTTTGCTTATTTTCAAATTTCATTTTCCCCTTGCAAAAAATTTTAAGTCATCAGTTTTCAATGAAAATAAGGGAAACAGTGAAGCATTTAAGTGTAGATTCACAGGTAGCTAGACTGAGATTCAAACCCAGTCTTGCACTTATTAGCTATATGATCTTGTACAAATCATTTAATCATTCTGTAACTCAAGCAATCAATTCTAAAATACTTAAAAACTTCCTACCTCTTAAGGTTGCTGTGGAGTGAATGAGGTAATTATGATAAAGTGCCTGCATCACCAGAGACTCCTCTGAATCAGTATTTTTCTGCATGAATTTAAACTGTTAGATGTTTTGTGTGCCACTTAACACTCACTAAAACTCTAGAAGCTGGTGGTATATATCTAAGACTGCCCAGTTAAAATGCGAGTTGTTTTTTTTTTCCAGAGTACATAATTGCCGAATTCACAGACATTGTAGCAAACAATAGATGTTTATATAGTAGGAATGTCATACTGAAGCATGCAGTTCATGCAGTGGTATGCTAATGGCAGCTGTTATATAAGATAGTAATTGCTACACATTAGATTTTTAACTGCTGATTTTCAATAGTAAGGTGAAAAAAAAATAACATAAAACATGATAAGCAATTCTACAAATAAATGTTCTTGCAAGGCTGAAAAAAGTAAGATTTTAAATAAAGCTCTTGTGTTATAGTCAGCAGACAAAACAAATAAAAGGAAATTAATGTTGAATATAATCAACACATAACAGCATTTCAGATCAAGATTCTAGAATTAAAAAAAAATAAGCATGGAGAATAATCTTGAAATGTTAAGCATTTAAACAAAGTTTGGATTTTTTTGAAGCATAAAACACTTAGAAGGACGTCAAACATGTGGCTATATAATGAACAGCAGAGCAAGGCAATGCATTTAATGCACAGGTGCCTCATAAGTCAAATTAAGAATTAATACAGTAAGTACATCTGGAACTAGAAATAATATTAAAATAAAAAAGTAATATGCCATGACACAAACACAGAGACACACACAAATAGCCGAATTGTGTAGTTCTCAATGCTAGTGTTATACTTCTGGAAGCACTGACAAAGAAGTCTGAATCGAAGCTGCAGAGTCCAGAACAGTGGCTAAACCACGAATTAAGTAGGGAAACAGTTAAATGCAAAGCATTTAGAAACAACACTCATCATGTTTTATGATATTTGAAACCTTTTAAGTGAAAAGTGCAATAGCTGTTCTTCAATTTCTAGCATAACATTTTAAAATTCCAGTTTTTGCAAAGCTCTTACCACTAATAAGGCACTATCATCAGTGTGCTGAGACCTTCTGGATGGGAAGGGGCACTGGAGAGGTGGAGAAAATGAGGCATGTCAAAAACAAACTAAACACACATGATGTATTCAACAAAGAGACACACGAGGAAAAAGACATTTAAGACATGCTTGCAAAGATGCTGAAAGAGAAGACTACATTGGGAATCATCTGGAATTCACATGTTACTAGTTAGTAAGTTTACTCTGAATAATTATTTTCTTACAAAGAGATTAAACAACTTCAAATATGACCTTACTCACTAAAACCTTGTAGAACAAAAAAGAGGGATTATTCTCTGATCAGAGAGAGATTTGGGGTTTACTGAGGGACTCTTAACAAACTCAATAATAAGCTCAAGAGTTGTGATATTACTTTCTTCAGAAAAAAATAATAGTATAATTGAAATTTTAAAAATCTACATTATATTTTCAGAGAAGTTTTAATTCTTCAATAACTAATTACATAAAACCATTTTCAAAATGGTAAAACATTAAACAAGCTTTGGTAAAACATTAAACTTAAGACTGCTTGTAAAATGCTCGTATGGAATTATTGCCACACGAAATGGAAATACTGAATATTGCCATATGAAATAGAAAATACTGACTCAGGTATTATACCAATGATAATGTTATCATATAAATAAAAACTGGTTCATCCACTAAAGTCTTAAAAACATTATAATATGTTATTTACATTTCAACCTTTTATATGTAAATTTTCTTTACAAAACTGACTACCTAATATTTTAAAAAACTAGTATGTGCAAAGCATAATCAAGACATAAAAAATGACCACTGAAGGTTAACAGCTCCATAGGTTCACTGTTTAATGTCAATACATCATTTACCTAGGCCAGTAACAGCCATGAGGACTGTCAGTACAGACATGCTTCTACAATGGACATGGAGCATGGTGCCTATACAGGGCCTGAGAGAAGGGAAGCATCATCATTTTTAGATGGAGAAATATTCACAGATTCTGATAAATTCCCTGGCCTGTGTCCTCATCTTCTCATAAAATCTTATGAGGTGAGAAAAGAAAAATGACAATATTCTTATCACTGAAAGCACATGGTAACCGTATGTAAAACATTTCATTTCCACTGCAACAAAAATTTAAAAAAGGAAAGGTGGTTACACAGACTTACCTCACCATCTAAGAGGGGCTGTTTCTGTGGACTCTGGGATGCTTTTTGCTGTACACCCATCCCCCCCAAAAAAGGGAATTTGGTTAGAACCTTGAAAACTAAAGTATGAAATACTATTTATTAAAATAATTCTTAAAGTCTGTATCATTTGTGTATAGCATTTTTCCAGATTTACTGGTAAAATATGTTGTCTCTTAAATATCTTCTCATTTAAATGAAAAAAAAAAAAAGCAACAAACGGACAAAGACTTACACACACACACACACACACACACACACACAAAAGCATCTACAGACAGAACAAAACTCTCTGTAGAAACACTTACGCACATTCATAACCATAGTGGTGCTCTCACAGCGCTCTTTCAGTGAAATAATTCTCTGCTTAATGGCTTCAAGGTTTATACTTTTAAGAAATTCTCTACTTATATACTGCAATGTCATCTCTTATCTAACATAGCCACAAACAAAATTTACAAGTTCTCATATGAACAATCTCTTTTCTCAAATTTGTCCATTTCTGTCATTGTTTTAAACAGTATTAGAAAACCAGGTTAGTCAGTGATTAACAATATGTACTTATATACAGTATGTCAAGTTATTTTTACTTCTATGAAGCAAGCAAATATTCTAAAAATAATATCTATTTAAAGATAAGTAAAGAGAAGATACGAGAGGTTTACTGGCATGTATAAATTTGTAAGTATCACAAATGAGATTTGGATTCTGAGGTATTCTGAGTCTAAATACATTTTTTCCACAATGCTATTGTTGTTATGTGCCGTCAAGTCGCTTGCGACTCATAGCGACCCTATGTACAACAGCCCTGCTTTGTCCTGTGCCAATTGCACTGTTTCTGACACTCCCATTCCGACTACCCCAGTCACTGAATCAATCCACCTCATAGAGGGCCTTCCCCTCCTGTGCTGTCCCTCCACCCTCCTAAGCATAATGTCCTTTTCCAAGGACTGGTCTCTCCTCACAACATGTAGATGTCACTAAAGTTATTACACTTTAAGCATCAAAGCTTTACTTTTAAATCTTCCCCCCCTTTTTTTTTAAACTTCCTTTAAAAAAATTTATATTGGTTTGTATAAAAAATTAGTATACAATGTGTTTCACACATTTCTTCATTCACATATTTCATTTGATCATTCCCATTAGATTTTTTCTTAAACTCATCAAGATCCACTGAGTATCTGTGTATAAAGCATATGTCTCACTAATGCTTCTTTGGAAATCCTCCTTCTACTTTATTTGTAAAACCCACGTGGTAGCAGAGGATATAATGCCCACAATACTAGATTTAATTTAATACTAATTCTAAAACAGACATGAGGAAACTTGAAGTACAAAATGGTTCAGTGCCTTCTGTAAAGTTAAGCAGGGACGGATGATAAAGATTAATTAAAATTCAGATATTTCTAATGACAAACCTCTAGCATGGTGCAGTATTTCTTTCCCTTAGTAAGCTTAGAAACAATACAATTTTACTCTTTAATTTTATATTCTAGTCTAACAATCACCATTTCTATTTAATTCCCCTCCTTCTAGATGTTTTCTATCTAACCTTTTCTATACAAGTAAGTTCCTTTATCAGAATTATTGTTCTCCTTATGTTTTCTCCTATATAAGGCCTCAGATGGTTCTTTTTGACTAACAGATTAGGATTCATCTAAATAAAAAACTAATCAAGATTCTCTACACCAAAAGAGATTGGGAAAATGGCAGCTGGGTCTTTAGGCGAGATGAATAAAGACAGAATGCAAAATAATAGGGGAGACTGAGTACTCTTAATAGCAAGAAAGTCACTGACTATGTGCATAGGGATGAGGAATCTGATCACAAGTAGGAGATAGTCAAACAATTTAGTCAGGATTCCTTATAAGGAGAAAAAGAATTGAAAGTTGCTATTACTATTAAAACAATAAAAATCGAAGACTTCCAACAAAATGTATACGCATTTGCCTCCATGTAAGTACCGGCGTGACACTCAAGGGCCTTCGAGGACTCACCTTGACAAAGTCCAGGACAGCTTCTCTCTGTATCTGCTTGGTCCTCATTTTCTCCTCTTCATACTGCAGGGCAGCACGCTGGGCCTCTCTTCGAGTGCGCTCCACTATTTGCTCTCTTCTCTGATGATGTTCTAGATCTGTGTGTGACAGCTGGAACAAAAGCATCCTTTTACACATGCAAGTAGAAACAGAGAGATTTGGCAACATTCCTAAACAATTGAGGGAATTACTATGGATCCAAGTAACTTGAACTGTGCAGTCATCTAGCACTTCTTAAAGAATCATCCTGATCTTTCTCCATCTTTGCACGGTTCTTATATGTATTATAAAGCCATCATGTGGACAGAAAGCTTTCTTTTTTAAGAACCATGTAGTCAGGGGAGCTCTCGTGACCTAGGATGTAGGACTGCTGCACTGCTAAACCAAAGGCAGCACCTCTCTGGTGGTTCACATCTACCAGCTGTGCTGTGAGAATATGGCTATTAATCGCCTCCCGTGAAATCAGCCTCCCAAAAATCTGCTAGAGGGTCAGCTTTGAGTCAGTTCCCACTCAATGGCAATGTATTTGAGGTTTTTAAATCATGTATAATGAGGGAGACAGAAGTAAAGTTTACAGATACCTGCCAATTAATGCCAAGTTAAGTATCGCAGAAAAAAAAATATCCCCATTTTCACATGAAAACAAAAAATCTTAAAATATTCTGTAAATTACCTGACTGTGACTTGATGATGGTGGCAAGAGAAAAGATGGCTCAACTGGAACTCTGACCCAAAAAAGAGAAAAGGGGGAAATTCTTTGATAACAAGACAGATAACATATGAAAAGAGGTAAAATCATAGAGTTAAAGTATCTTTCTTTTTTAAAAAAGTTTTCTATCATTCATCTTTGCTATATTCATATACATTTTGCTTTAGACAATCATTTCCGTACATAGTGTTTTATAATTACTAGTGATCTATTACTTTTATCTGACGGCTCCTCAAGTCTCCATTACACCTTACCTGTTTCTTCACCGCCCGCTGCTTCCTGCTAATCTCCACTGACTTCTTTAGTCCTTCTTTCACTTCTTTCCCTTTGAAACAGTTATGTGTGTGCATGCGTGCCTGTGTGTGTGTGTGTACAGAGTTTCTATTTACTAATTGCAAAAGCTATACTGTCTCTATCTCTATCCTTCCCAGGTCAATCCTCCCGTGTCTTGGTCCTCGTGTTAAAGTGGACTTCTATTACCCAACAGACAAACTATCAAGTCAGTACTGAAAGATCACAGCAGAGCCTGGTGTACGGTTTCACTTTCCACAGATCCAATTACTCATAGCCAACAAAGGTCCAAAACCATTAAATGGAAACCGCAGACATAAATAATTCTTTAAGTTTCACATTTTAATATGATGCAATCTCATCAGATCAAGCCATCCCACTCAGCCTCACCCATTGTGTCCTCACTGTACACTCTATTTGCCCTTTTGTCATTTGGCAGCTATCCTGGTTATCAGACTGATTCCTGCTGCAGGGTTTGTGTTCATGTAACTCTTCTAATAAGTATTTAATTTGGTGAGTTCTGGTGTTACAATTTGTAGCAAGTTGTACTGCTAACCCAAAGGCTCTGCATTGCTGGCAGTATGAATCCACCAGTGGCACTGAGGGATAAAGATGGCAATCTCCTGCACTTAGACTTTCAGCCTCGGAAACTCAAGGGCCGGTCGCTATGAGTGGGAACCAACTTGATGGCAGGGAGTCCGAATTTTGAGTGATATCTAATTTATACATTAAACTTTATCATAAGGTAGGAAAAAGAGAGTCGAAATAGGGCTTGGTACTATCTGTGGTTTCAGGCATCTATTAGATATCTTAAATCATATTCCCCATAGATGAGAATTACTGCAACTAAATTTTGTACATTTGAGCTCAATTCATTAAACTACATAAACCTGAGGTTTCTAGCTCATGTTTCACATGATAATATCGCTGACTGATCTACATCTAGCTAACAACTGTCAGCCAAGGCTGATCATACAGTTAAGATGACTTTTAAATGGTATCTTTTATTTTTTATACATTTAGGTATTATTGTCTTTACTACTCTGGTTGCAACAAGATACATGTACATTGAGAGCCCTTTATAAACAAAACCACTGTAACAGAAAGACAACAAAACTTGGTAATTATACATGTAAAGCACTCACTCCTCTTCTGAAGCAATTTTAACACAGAAAGTAAAGTTTCTGCTGCCTATCTTATTTTTTAAAAAGGTGAAATCTGATTAAAAAAACTAATAATATTTATAGTTTGTCAAATCAATGGTAAAGTCTTAACAGCTTGGCACATATCTTTATCCAGAACCAAATTTCATTTATCAAGTAAATTTAACTTATTTGTATCCTAAAATTAAAAAGTACTGGAGGCAATGTCTTTTTGGAATTTATAACCTGAAATTTTAAGCTATGATGATTAGCCTGTCAGATCACAGGACTGATTTAACTGCACTCAAACTGAGTGTAATTAAAGGAATAAAAATATCAACTAGAAAGTTCCAGTAGTTTCCTATTGCCAAATGCCTCAATGTGGCACTGAAGCCTCTCATCCCATTAGTATAACCATTACAGATTAGTCTTTAGCAAAACAGTCCCACCTTCATTATATTACTGACTATTAATTACTGTAAGCCTTTGTTAAAATAAGTACAGGATTTCTTTTCCCTTGTCATCCAAAACCCCTCATTCTTAAAAAGCTATTATGTTTTGTCTCCTTCATGAGGTCTTTTTAGAATCTTAATGTTTTCTTCTAAAATCAATTATTCCCTCCCCCAATGTACATATATAAATAACAATACTTTTTTGCATTTAACAACTATGAGTAGTATCTTTTGGGATAATATTTTTCTGAGGCAGATTGAAACCAACAGTCATGGAGTTCGTACCATGTTGAAGTGACTTACACACACATCATTTATTAATTACTTTGTAAAACAAATTAATGACATTTTTATGTGCCATTGAATCAACTACGACCCATAGTGACCCTGTGAACAACAACCCCGAATCTTGCCCAATCCTGAGCCAACCTCACCATCTCTAAAACACTTGACCCCAATGCCACATTCATGTCATCCAGGGTCTTCCTCTTCTGCACTTATCTTCTACTCTTCTAAGCATGACATCCTTTGCCAAGGACTGATCTCTCATGGTGACATACCCAAAGTATGTGAGACAGAGTTTAAAATGCTTCCCTTGAAGGAGCAAACTTGTTTCTCTCCAGGAAAGACCTATTTGTCCTCTTGGCAATCCATGGTATGTTTAGTACTCTTCTCCAACACCACAATTCAAAGACACCAATTCTTCTGTCATCTTTATTCACTGTCCAGCTCTCAGATACACAGCAAGCAATTGAGAAGACCAGGGCCTAAATCAGGCACACCTTAGTCTATAGACTGACATCTTTGCTGTTAGCATTCTGGTGAGATCCTTGGCAGCAGATTTTCCCAATGCAATTTGTCGTTTGATTTCCTAACTGCTGGTTCACAATATGCCTACTGGCCTAATGGTGAGCATTTTTCTTTTCCTGATGTTGAGATGCAATCCATATTGAAGACTATAGTCCTTAGTCTTCTGCAGCATATGCTTCACATCCTCCTTAGTTTCGATGAGCAAACCTGCACAATCCAGGATGTTGATAAGTCTTTTTCCAATCCTGAAGCCACATTCTTCTTCACAAAATCCAGCCTCCCAAATGATCTGTTCCACACAGAGACTGAAAAGGTATGGAGAAAGGATACATCCCTGGTACACTTCCATTCTGGTTTTGAATCATTCCATGTTCCCTTCCTCTGTTTAGACAATAGCTTCTTGGTCTAGTTATAGTTTAACATGAACACAATCAAGTGTTCTGGGATTGTCATTCTTCTCAATGTTAGCCACAATTTGTTGTTATCCTCAGAGTCAAATGCCTTTGCACAGTCGATAAAACATAAACACACATCCTTCTGGTACTCTGTTTTTAGCCAAGATCCACCTGACATCAGTAATGATATCCCTTGTGCCAAAGCCTCTTCTAAACACAGCTTGTATTTCTGACAGTTTTCTGTCAATGTACTGTTCCAGTCACTTTTGGATCTATTTACCAAGATAATGCTTTCACAAGCTATTATTGATATTGTTTACTTCCACATTCTGTAGGATCACCTTTTTTGGAAATAAATATAGATGTTTTCCAGTCAGTTGGTCAGACAGATGTCCTCCAAACTTCTTGGCACAACCTTGTGGACACATCCAGAGCTGCATCTGTTTACAGTATTTCAGTTGGCATCCCTTCAATTCCTGGGGCCTTATTTTTTTTGTCAATACCTTCATTTATCCCTTAATGAGAATCAATGATGTGCATACTATTTTCTTAAATTATAGAAAAATTAGAAATGTAATTTATTTGTCAGCTTATTTTTTTAGACCTATAAATTTTAGAAGCATTTTGTGAATACTCTCAAATTTGGAACCATTGTAAGAAAAAAAAATGTCAATAGGAAGAGAACTCACATTGTCCAGCTCTCTGATGAATACAAAGTAATGCAAAAGACCGTGGTGTGTTAAAAAAACAAACAGTCTGATAACTATTAAAAAAAAGGCCATGGTGTGGATCAGATGTACCTCAGTCTCCAGAGTGACATCACTGATCTTTAGTACTCTGGAGAGGTCCCTGACAGCAGATTTTTCCAATGCAATTCATCTTTTGATTTCCTGGCTGCTGGTACTAAAGTATTGTTTGTGGCGCTGAGCAAGGAGAAATTGTTAACAATTCTCTCACAATCACTTGGCCAACTGACTGGAAGAGGTCAATATTTGTTCCCATCCCAAAGAAGGGTGACCCAACTGAGTGTGGAAACTACAGAACAATATCATTGATTTCACATACAAGCAAGATTCTACTCAAGATTATCCAAAAACAACTGGAACAGTACATCAGCAGAGAACTGCCAGAAGTCCAGGCTGGGTTTAGAAGGGGTTGTGGTACTAGGGATATTGTAGCAGATGTTAGATGGATCTTAGCTGAAAGCAGAGAATACCAGAAGAATGTCTATCTGTGTTTCATTGATTATGCAAAGGCATTTGACTGCGTGGATCATAACAAACTGTGGCTGACTCTGAGAAGAATGGGAATCCCAGAACATTTAATCGTGCTAATGCGAAACCTATACTTGGACCAAGAGGCAGTCGTCAGAACAGAGCAGGGCAACACTGAATGGTTCAAAATTGGGAAGGGTGTACGTCAGGGATGTGTCCTGTCTCCATACCTTTCCAACCTGTATGCAGAGCAGATTATCCGAGAGGTGGGGCTCTATGAGGAGAGGCGTGGCCTTAGGATTGGTGGATGATCTATCAACAATCTGTGTTATGCAGATGACACAACCCTGCTCGCTGAAACTGAGAAGGACCTCATGCACTTGCTGTGGAGGGTCAAGGACTGCAGCCTTCAATATGGACTGAGGCTCAATGTCAAGAAGACAAAAATTCTCACCACTGGACCAATCGGTAGCATCAGGATGGATGGCGAAGAGATTGAGATTGTTCACAGCTTCAGTTTTCTCGGCTCCATGGTCAACACTCTTGGCACCAGTAGCCAGGAAATCAAAAAACGTATTGCGATGGGAAAGTCTGCGGTTAGGGACCTCTCCAAAATACTCAAGAGCAACAGTGTCTCTCTGGAGACTAAGGTCCGCCTGATACAGGCCATGGTTTTTGCAATCACTTGTTATGCATCAGAGAGTTGGACAATGACTAGGGAGGATAGAAGGAGAATTGACGCCTTTGAGCTGTGGTGCTGGAGAAGAGTATTGAATGTACCATGGACTGCCAAGAAAACAAACAGATTCATCCTATAGAGGATTGAACCAGGCTGCTCCTTGGAGGCAAGGATTCTGGGGCTTTGTCTGACATACTTTGGACATGTTGTAAGGAGAGACAGGTCTTTAGAGAGGGACATCATGCTGGGTAGAGTAGAGGGACAGCGCAGGAGGGGAAGCCCCCCTATGAGGTGGATTGATTCAGTGACTGGGGTACTCGGGATGGGTGTGACAGAGGCAATGAGATTGGCACAGGACAGAGCAGGGTTTAGGGCTGTTGTACACAGGGTCGCTATGAGTCACAAACGACTCGATGGCACATAACAACAATAACAACAACCTCCATTTATCATGATGTTGCCAAAAGGCCCAGTGGTGAGGATCTTTGTTTTCTTGATATTGAGCTTTAAGGCATATTGACCTTCTTTAATCCTTGACCTTCTGCAGCAAATGCCTCAGGTCCTCATCAGTTTCAGCAAGCAAGATTATGTCATCTGCATAACACATTTGTTATATACGTTTGTTTATATCCACTAGAATGCAAACTCCATGGCAAGAGGTGTGCTTTTGGCTTGTTCCTCAACAGTAATTGCTCAAGAAACAGTTCCTAAAAGAAGAGCAGTGGCACTTCCATTCTTGTCCCTCAAGAAAGAATAAAACAATGAATCCTAAGAAATACAAACCAAACCTGCATGTCATCTATACACATCTTTTTTTTAAAAAAAAATTCTCATGTCAGATGGAAAATGTACCAAGTTGCAACAAGGTTTAAGGAAGGCACATGTCATACAAAAGCATAAACACTCAATCGCCAAACTCATGAACTGGAAAGGGATCATATATACATCTTTTTTAAGATTTTGAACTGAAGTCGAGCTGAGTAAACCAAAACTTTAGCTCCAGGAGACATCTTTTGAACTGTCCTTTTATTTGTTTGTAAAAACCACATAATTTCAGACTATTTCCCTGCTCATCTTTGTATGTATAATATAAAACCAAAAAAGTTTTATAACTCTATATTACTTTTTACAGAAATAGCTGGACTCAGCCTGATATTATCTGGCCTAAAATAAAATGCTTTTCAAACTAAGACTTCTAAAAAGAAATATTTGGATAACTTTTCTTAAAATAAAAATTTTTAAAGATTTTAATTTCAGCTTTATATTCCACATCTTGGCAATAACTATAAAACACACAATGTGTCACACTTTCTATTCAATGTGTCCCTTTACCATCATATCTTAGGAAGATAATATGTATGTAAGGGGCCTGGGTGGTAAGGAATATACTTAATGAGTATGTGTAGGGGGGGAAAGGGGATTAAAAAGAAAAAAGAGTAAAGCAGGCATCAGAAGGGCCCCTCAAGGGCATCCTGGGACACACTGAAGAACAGGTTGTCTCCTGTGACTTTAATAGTGACATTCACTCTTCCACCTTTGATGCTGGGGCTGGCCATTTCTCTAAATGACCACTTTGTCAAACTCATTTCCTGTTATGACAATTAATTTGGCTACAGGAACCAGGTGGTTGAACTGATGGTTCACATGGCCTCCAAAGAATAAGAGTCCCTTGGACCACCAGGCCCAGCAATAGCACTAGAAGAGAGACCCTCAGCTGTTGGGGAGTCCTTGCCCCAACTTGATCCTCCCACACACTGAGAATCTCACATCCTTGACACAAGTTTCCATCAAATCCCCCTGGAAAGAGGAGGGACTTGGAGAGCCCATCTTGTCATGTACCATCAATAAAATACACTGTACTCAGCCAAAAAAAAAAGAGAGTAAATTTTTTTCAGCTCATTCACTGATTCAACAGTGAGGGTTGCTTTTTGTTTTCCAGTAAGGGGACAAAACGAGATGCCAGACAGATTCCAACTGTGAGAAACATTTGGTCTGTTACTGCTGGCCTGAAGACGGAGGGAGCCATAAGAATTTAGTCAGCTCCTAGGACCCAAAAATAACTTCCAGATGACAGCCAAGAAGGCAACTTCAGTCCTAAAGTTCTGAATTCTGCCAACAATCTGTAAGATTCTGGAGTAAATGGCCCTCTACATAGGAGCTCTGGTGGCGGAGTGGCAAGAAGGTGCTCTGCAATCCCGAAGGCACAGGAGGAGGATGGGCAGTCTCCTCCAATGCGATTAATGGCCTCTGGTCAGCTTTGGGTTGGCTGTGATACTACAGTACACAACAGCAACAGTATCTACGTAAAAATGCAAATTAGCTGGTACTTTGATTTTGACCTTGTAGGACCCTAAGCAAAAGGAACAAGCAAGAACGAATAAACATCTAACTAACAGAACTCTAACAGAATAAACAGATCATCTGGGAGGCTGGACTTTATGAGGAGGAATGTGGTGGCATCAGGATTGGAGAAAGACTCATCAGCAACCTGTGTTATGCAGAGGACACAATGTTTTTTGCCAAAACTGAGGACCTGAAGCATTTGCTGCAGAAGGTCAAGGATCGTAGTCTTTAATATGAATTGAAGCTCTATATCAAGACAACAAAGATTCTCACCATTGGGCCAATTAGCAGGTTCATGATGGACGTAGAAGAGATTGTGTCAACTGATAACTTCAGCTTGCTTGGTTCCACAATCAACATGATTGGCACCAACAGTCAGGAAATCAAAAGATGAATTGCATTGGGAAAGTCTGCTATCAGGGACCTCTCTAGAGTACTGAAGAGCAAGCATGTCAGTCTGGAGACTAAGGTACAACTGATCCAGGCCTGATTTGCAATTACCTGCTATGAATTTGAGAGCTGGACAATAACTAAGAAAAACAGGAGGAGGATCGATGTCTCTGAGCTGTGGTAAGGAGAAGAGTGTTGAACATACTGTGGACTGCCAAGAGAACAAACAGGTCTGTCCTGGAGAGGGTGAAACTGGGCTGCACCCTGGAGGCAAGGACTTTGAGGTTCCCTCTCACATACTTTGGGCATGAGGCCAGGAGGACCTGTCTTTGGAGAGGGACATGATACTTGGAAGGGTGGAAAGACAATTCAGGACAGGAAGATTCAAGATGAAATAGACTGATTCAGTAACTGGAGAAATGGGATTAGTTGGGATTAGTTTTGTCAGAAACGATGACCTATCATAGCTCATGATAGGTCAGGTTTCAGAGCTAATGTACCCAGGGTTGCTATGAGTCACAGATGACTTGATGGTATATAACAACAAGGCAAAATCTGTGGTAGTTTATTATGTAAACAATAGAAAACTAATATATAAGGTAAATGAGCAAAAAGGTTCGCTTTTACTTTAAAGGTTTCTGCTAAATTCTGCAAATCTTGAGTCTCACTTAAGACAGATGTTGTTATGTTCTATCCAGTCAACTACTTACTACTAATGTCAACCCTACCTACAGCCATGAACCACGCCCTAACCTGAACCAATCTCACCATCTCTGCCACACTTGCTCCCACAGTCACAATGTGCCAATCAATCTCATCCTGAGCTAAGGTGGCTAAAGGAAGTGAAAGGAATAAGAGTTAAAGTCCAGGTCTTCTCAAAGTGAAGAAATAGAGTAGGAGGTCCCTGAATGAAATAAGGCCTTCAAAGGGTCATATCTCAGAAGAAGAATGCAAAAAAATTACTCAGAAGAATGTAAAAGCTTATCAAGCTAACTAATCTCACGTGAAGTAATTTGTATATCTCTAACAAGTAATGAGATTTTATTCTTTCTTTATTCTATTATCATTTCCACATTTTATCTGAGTCTATCTTTCAATCCTCCTTTTATAATAATTTTAATGCCCCATCAAATAGAAGTATAAAATTGGATGACTGGTTCTACAGAATAAGCTTAAAAAACTTTAAGAAGAGGCAACTTAAGTCTGGAGCCTTAAGACTTGATAAAAATAAATATAAATGTGAGGTAAAAACTAAAAGCTGGGAATTTTACCAGCTATGGCAAGAAAGCTCTGGAGTTCAAGAATGAAAGGTGTGTTATAAATGGCCAAAGTATTTTGGACTATTTTGTGTAGCTGTCAAGATAGAAAGTAAAGATCTTTCTTCATTTTATAAGAGAAAAGAACAAGGATACATACTGTGAACTCTATCTCTATTATCTGGTCAAATATAAAAAAATGTTCAGTACCTCAAAAGTTCATTTTACGCCCTCTTATAATAATCAGGATAATCACTACAAAATACTAATACATAAATTAATTGTACCGTTTAATCTGATTTAAGAGGCAATATGTAATTTTTATCTCTTTCCTATAATCTGAAAACAAAAGCACATTAAATACATGGAGTCAAAAACAATTATCTGAAGGGAGCGCTGGTGGCCTAGTGGCAAGGATCTGCAACTACAATCCCAGAGGCGCATGGTTTGAATCCACCAGATGCTCTGCACCAGTCAGATCTGATTTGACGGTACACTCACACAAAAATAATAAAATAATAATTTAAAAAAAAAACAAAAAACCACAATTATCTGAACATCTTCATTAAACACAGATCTGTATAAAATCACATGTCAGGAAAAAAAAAGTTTTTTTTCATACCTGTTTTGATGTATAAACTTTCTCATATCTTCCATTTTCTGAAACTCTCTAATAGGTACTGGCTTAACTGGAGAACCCTAAGTCAAACAAGAGAAATAACATAGGTTAACATAGGTTCCCAGGATATTTTAACATTTTAATGAGACAATTCACATCCAATTAGGCTTTAGGGGTATGCATACTTCATTAAAAATTATCTTAATAACTTAATAGGCTATATCATTATTTTGAAAAACAAAAATAATCATTATCTACAAAGGATTTCTTTATAGTACTTTCTTCTAACTATATTATATAAATAATGCTGCTGCTGTTGGGTGCTGCTGATCTGGAACTGACTCAGCACTGATACCCCATCAGGTGTTTAAGAAGCTGTGAATGAACAAGAAGAGATCACCTAACTGTATCTTGTGGAGCAACTGGTGGAACTGAACCACCTGCCTTTGGGTTGGCAACTAAATGCCTTATCCACTAGACCATGAGAACTCCCTGGATTACTGAGGAAAAATAAACTAGCTATAATGATTGAGATTACACACACTGAGAAAGAAAACTACACTGGTGACCTAGTGGCAAGAAGTGGCACTGTAATCCCAGAGGTACACAGTTTGAATCCACCAGATGCTCTTCTGGAGAAGAAGGAGCAATCTCCTCCTGTACCAGTCAGATCCGATTTGATGGTACACAAACACACACACACAAATAATAAAAAATTTAAAAAAGAAAACTACAGATTAAAGGTAAAGGTTTCTAGATTAAGGAGCATATATTCTGCCAAATCATCTAAAGAACATAATCATCAATATCAAAATGACCATTAAAGAGTATTCTTCAATGAAAACTTATAAAAAATTTCTGTAATTTTATCAAAATTTAAATACAAGAATGTATTCTAAACACCAACAAAAAAGACAGCATTCAAAAGCTTTAAGAAAGGAAAACCAAGGCGTAAGAGAGAAAAAAAAATTGTACTATTACTGTATGACAAATCTAGCTTTAACCGAGTATTTCTAAGAGGCTAACTACATCATTCTTTAAAAAGGCCCTAAGTGTTTCTAAAACAAACCTTGCTCAGAGTCTGCAACCAAGTCCAGACATCAACCTCAGAGAGGGAAGTGGAGCCATCTGATTATGCTGACGAGATAATAGTCAAAAATGCTATTTCTCCTTTCAACCCTTAGGGAATTGGCAGAGATTCTGCAATGGGCTGAATGCTCATTTGTTTTGTAAGGAGATTCAATGAGGCACTATCAAAGACACCCAAGAATTTTAATGGCTAACAATTTGCATTCTGTGTGACTTAGCATAAAGACTCCAATGTTAACTGAACCAATTATACAATTTCTATATTAAGTCTGTATGTTACACCCAAAGCAGGATTCTGGACTCAATTCTTACTTATTAAGTAAATTAAGATTTACTAATTAGTATCAATATCAAGCAATAAAAATTATCTCATAAATGCAACATTACTTTGCATTTTTTTAAAAAAAGTCTTAGTCTTTGGATTCTCTTTTATTTCCATTACAAAATCCTTAGTATCTCTCTCCCTTTTGACCAATAAATCTAATTTCTATTTCTATTGCTTGATTATATGAATAAATATGTAAAATTAATGGAAAGTATTAGAAAAATATGGACTAAAAATTAGATCTCAAGTAATAAAGTAATGACTGACAGAAATTCATCCTACAAGTGTTTTTACTCGAGGATTACCAGGCTTAAATGGGTGTACTACCTCGTGAGAGATTCGCCGTTGTTCAATATATGCCATAAACTGTGAACTGAGACTGTCTGGGTCCATGCCCCTGGGTTGTCTCACCTCGTCCTCTTCTTCTTCTGCAGCGCAGCTGTCAATGTAGTCAATCTGATCCAGATCATGTTCCACTGTACACACCACACACACAAACACCAGAAAGAGCATTCAGATGAGACAGCCAAGACAAGGCACTTGCTTCAATTGCATTATACCTTCCCCAACATTTACTACTCTGAAAGTGAGAAAAATGGAAGGAAAAAAAATTTGAATTGTGCAGCCAATAGAAACTTAATCCTCTACCACTCACCAAAAAAGTCTCCAAAACGTAATTAATCCTAGTAAAGAATACATTAAGAGCGATGCTAATAATTGGAATTTAGATTTTTTAAAAATATCCTTTCCAGTGTTTCATACTGTTTTAAACAAGACAATTTGAGCTTATGACAAAAAAAAACCAAGAAAGATAAATTAATTTTTATTAGATCAAAAGTTCCATCTACGTTTAGGACTTCTTGTCATGTTTTAGGTTTCGGGCTTACGCAGAACTCTTCAGAGTTAGGAGGCAAAAACCCCTACAAAGTCAACTCAAACGAAAGCAGAAGGCAATTAATGAAAAGCACAGGAGAAAACTAGAGAAATAAAAGTATTTTTTTCCATTTGTAACTGCTGTCAAACTGTCTTCAAGCCCCCATGCAAAAAAATTTATCAGAAGAAAAATTTTCACTTTCCTGCTTAGAAAACTACTGAGGTCCCCACCGTAAACATCTTGAAGAAGTTTTTGATTAAGACAGAATCATTTAAGAAATCTTTTTCTTTTTTTTTCAACATGCTTTGGGAAGATGAGAAGATACTGTCACATTATTTCTTCTGATATGGTTGAGGATGTTCACTACTTTTAGTTTAAAAAGCAATTCCTTTAAAAGCTAACGGAATGACAAGAATTGGTGGTTTTAAACATTAGTTAAAATGACAGGAAGTCTGTAGGGAGTTGTACTGTTAACCTCTTTGGCAGTTCAAATCCACCAATGGCTCTGATAGAGAAAGATGGGCCAATTCCTCTTCTGCAATTTACAGCCTCTTGAAAACCCACTGGAGTGTTAACTATGAGCTCTGATTAGACCACAATGAATTTTGAAGATGTGAGTTAAAAATGACGGACTAAATATAAAACACCTTAATGTTCTAAGACGGTTTTTCCGAAGAAGAATTAAACCCCAGCCATTTTTTATTGTTAAACTTAACAAAACAATAAAAAAACTACTTGCCATGGGGATGGTTTCCTAACAATACTGTGCTCCACAGGGCTTTCACTCATGTTCTTCTGAAAGCACAATACCAGCAGAGGTCTTTTTATCAAGGCTCTGGGTGGACTCAAACTGCCAAACTCTGTTAGTAGCCAAGTGTTTAATAATTTCTGCTACCTAGGAGCTCCAGGATTTCTATAGACTATCTAAATGTTAATGTTGTGGAGAACAGTAAATGTGAAGTTCTCAGTCTACTTTTATAATTAAATTATTTAGACTTTATATCATAACTGCAGTTAATATAAAATTAATGGTACTACAAAACAGCTAAAAAAAGGAGGGAGTCCTAAGTTTACACTCTTATTAGAAACCAGGTATATAAATGTATTTTTCAATGTGCATCAATTTGCAGATTAAATAAGTAAGAAATAGTTCATACTATGACTTGTAACACTTGCTGCAGAAGATCAAGGACTATAGCTTTGAATATGGTCTTCATCTCGACATCAAGAAGACAAAAATCTTCACCATTGGATAAATAAGAAATATCATGATAAATGGAGAAAAGACTGCAATTGTTAATCATTTCATTTTACTTGGATTCATTATAGCAGATGGATCTTAGCTGAAAGCAGGGAATACCAGAAGAATGTCTATCTGTGTTTCATTGATTATGAATGGGAATCCCAGAACACTTGATCATGCTAATGCGAAACCTATACTTGGAGCAAGAGGCAGTCCTCAGAACAGAGCAGGAAAACACTGCATGGTCCAAAATTTGGAAGGGTGTACGCCAGGGATGTGTCCTAACTCCCTATCTTTTCAACCTATATGCAGAACAGATTATCCAGGAGGCTGGGCTCTATGAGGAGAAGTGCGGTGTCAGGATTGATGAAGATTCATCAACAATCTGCATTATGAAGATGACACGACCCTGCTTGCTGAAACTGAAGAGGACCTGAAGTGCTTACTGCAGAGGGTCAAGGACTGTAGCCTTCAATGTGGATTGAAACTCAGTATCAAGAAGACAAAGATTCTCACCACTGGGCCAAATGGCAGCATTAGGATGGATGGTGAAGAGATTGAGGACTGTTCACAGCTTTAGTTTGCTTGGCTTCACAGTCAACACTCTTTGACACCAGCAGCCAGGAAATTAAAAGACATATTGCAATGATAAAGTCTGCTGTTAGCGACCTCTCCAAAGTACTGAAGAGCAATGGTGTCACTCTGGAGACTAAGGTGCACCCGATACAGGCCATGGTCTTTGTAATCACTTGTTATGCATCAGAGAGTTGGACAATGACTAAGGAGGATAGAAGAAGAATTGATGATGCCTTTGAGCTGTGGCGCTGGAGAAGAGTATTGAATGTACCATGAACTGCTAAGAAAACAAACAGGTTCATCCTCACCCCTGGAGAGGGTTAAACCAGGCGCTTCTTGGAGGCAAGGATTCTGAAGCTTTGACTGACATATTTTGGACATGCTGCAAGGAGGGACCGGTCCTTGGAGAAGGATGTCATACTTTAGAAGGTGGAGGGACAGCGCAGGAGGGGAAGACCCTCGATGAGGTGGACTGATTCAGTGACTGGGATGATGTAGGTAGGTGTGTCAGAGACAGTGACACTGGCACAGGATACAGCAGGGTTTAGGACTGTTGTACATAGGTCATTATGAGTCGCAAAAGACTCGATAGCACATAACAATAACAACATCATTTGGATTCATTAATCAATATCCTTGGTACGAGCAGTAAGGAGATTAGGAGGCATATTGCACTGGGCAAATCTGCTGTCCAAGACCTCTACAAAATGCTGAAGAGCAATGATGTCAGTTTAAAGACTAAAGTACACCCAATTCAGGTCATGGTCTTTCTCATTACTCGCTTTGTATCTGAGAGCTGCAAAAATGCATGTAAGAATGACAAAAGAAGATCTGATGCCTTTGAGCCGTGATGCTGGAGAAGAGTACATAATATCCCAGGGACTGTAAAAAAACCAAACAGAAAGGAGCTCTAGTGGCCTAGTGGCAAGAAGCTGCACTGCAATCCCAGATGTGCCTGGTTTGAATCCACCAGATGCTCTGCTGGAGGAGGGACATTCTCCTCCTCTACCAGTCAGATCTGATCTGACGATACAATGCACTAATAAAAGAAAAAAATTAAATAAACAAACAAAAACCCCAAACAGATGTCTTAGAGAAGGTGTACTCAGAATGTCCCTTGGAGGCAAAGACGGCAAAGCTTCATCTCACAAAATTTGGACATGTTGCTAAAAGAGGTTATTCCTTGGAGAGGAACAACATCCTTGGAAAAGTGAAGGGTCACCAAAAGAGAGGAAGACCCTCAACAACATGGACAGTGACTATAGCAATGGGCTCAAGTGTGTCAAAGATACACAAAGATATGGTACACGATAGGACAGGGTTCAGATCTGTTGTTCACAAGGCAGCTATGACTCATACTTGACTAAATGGCATTGAGCAACAACAATAACTTGATGACCTCCAAAGAATGCAACATCTCTTATATACAATGGAGAATGCTGCTGTCCAAAGAGAAACCAAACACAATCTACAAAAGTGAATCTCATATACAATTTAGTATGGATGCAGCAGGTAAAAAGACAAAAGACAAAATGGAGAAAACCACTGGTAAAGACCTTGTCAGAGTGCTAATGAGCACGAATGCTACACTAAAGACTGAGGTACACCTGACCCAAACTATGGAATTTTCAATTGTTTCATGTGGACATGAAAGTTAGACAAAGCCTAAGGAAGGCCAAAGAAGAACTTATGCCTTTGAACTGGCAAGAAGGTAACAGACATACATTTATAAAACTATGAAAGAAAAGAAACCCGCCAACCAAGAATTATATACCAGCAAAACTTTCTAAAATATGAAGGTGAGATAAAGACAATTCCAGATAAACAGCAACTAAGGAAATGTCTGAAAACAAAACAAATGCTACAAAAAATTTTAAAAAGAATTCTTTGAATTGAGAGCCAACAATGACAGACACAAATTGAACCCAGCTAAGAAAAGTAAATGCATCAAAGAAATGAACAACATCACAGAAAGAAGTAGAGCATGAAATGCTGTGTAACAGGATGCACCTGGAGGACTTCAGCTAGGCAAGGTCACAAAAGGACTATTACGGGCTAAAAGACCATCATTATAAAGCAAGGAAAGCTTTACACACAGGATTAATTTTGGATGGCTAACAGGGAGGGATGGGAAAGAAAGAAAAGGGAAATAAAAAAATTATAAACAGGTAAGCTGGGTGAAAGAAAAGGAAGTAAGACAATACATTGATCAGATACAGTAATTAATTAGTGATCTGCTGTAATCAATGTTATAAAATGTGTATGACTGAATGAAATTAAACTTAGAATGTTATATAACAAAATGTGTAACATGATGGGGATGGGGGAGGAATGCACTGAAAGAGGTCAAATAATGACCACAGAAAGAACCTTAAAAAGGAGAATGCTACTTCAGATAGAAGTTACATCAAATTAAACAAAGTCTTTATCTAGATGAAAAGTGTTCTGATGAAATTTCTTCTCAAAATAAAAATGAGAGTAAAACATTCCATTCTAACTGCAAGACTAAAATCAGATAAATGGAAATTTAAACCTAATAGAAAATATTTTCTTTTAATTCATATGTGAAAAAAGTTAAAGAGTAAAGCCGCATAACACAAACAAAACAAACGAAATGGGGGGGGATCTTTAAAGAGTTATAGACAAAACTCCAGATGTCATCAATAGCTCTGTTTACCTCCACCATTTGTTACCACTAAACTGCTGCGACTCTCCTGATACTGGCTTTCTCTTCGGAGTCTCTGTTCTTTTGTAATCTCTGCTACTCGAAGAGGCAAATCTGAAAATTCATCTGTAGGCTTAAAGAAATAACAGAAATGGCATTTAAAATTTTATTTCATAAAAGCACTGAAGACATGAGTATATCTCATTAAATTTTACCTTTAAGAAACAGTAGGACTCCAGAAATACACGTCTATGCAAATTTTCTACAATCATGCATCTATCTTAATAAGAGCCACACTTAACGCACACAACCACCCAGACAGACTTTCAGAAGCAATACCAAAAATGAGCTGTGCTCTAAAAGAACATTTTTTACTTCAGACTCCTAATGAAACAATTATATAAATGGGAGATTTTCAGTCTAGCTAGCAGAAGTATTTTTAATCCATTAACAACTAAAATATTATACCTCAGTAATGAAATAAAAATGCAGAAATTAAACAAATCTAAAAAATAACACTGTTGTTTGCTGTTTGATGCCACTGAGTCGTAGATGACTCATAGTGACCCTATGAACAACGGCCTGAGCACTGTTCGTACATAGAGTTTCAGGAGGCAAGCCATTTCAGAAGTGGATGCCACTCCTGCTTCCAGGCTTGTTTTAGACGGGAAGCTCCAGCCAACACTGTCTACCATGGATACCCATTACCACGTTTGACACATCAGTGTCACGGTCTTCAGCATCACAGCAACCATGAGTTACCTCTGTACAGCAATGCACAGATCAGTGCTATACCACCTTTGGCTTGGTAGCATTATCAGCTAATAAATAGTATGCCTCCAGAAACTCTATGAACTCTGATAAATGTTGATAGTTGTAGAGGGGCTTCAGGCCTTTTGATCATAGAGTCAGTATGAGTCATGCTTGACACTGAAGGTAAACAACATTATTAGATTTCCCCTGCTAACTCAAAGTACAGTGTAAATGATATAAAGCAAAAGGAGTTATTAACTGTATGTAAGAAAAAATTCCGAGTACTCTCACATCTAAAAAATTAGCCTACCAAGCAGCTTGTGTTGTTTTATGTGCCATCAAGTCGTTTGCGACTCATAGCGACCCTATGTACAAGAGCCCTAAACGCTGTTCTATCCTGTGCCAACCTCACTGTCTCAGACACATTCATGCCCACCACTCCACTCACAGAAATGATGCATCTCACCGAGCGTCTTCCTCTCCTGAGCCGTCCCTCCACTCTCCCAAACATGGTGTCCCTTTCCTAGGACCAGTCCCTCCTTGCAGCATGCCAAAAGTATGTCAGACAAAGCTTCAGAATCCTTGACTCCAGGGAACATTCCGGCTTCACCTTCTCCAGGACAAACCTGTTTGCTCTCCTAGCAGTCCATGATATATTCGACACTCTTCTCCAGCACCACAGCTCAAAGGCATCAATTCTCTTTCTATCATCCCTTTTCACTGTCCAACTCTCTGATGCATAGCACGTAACTGTGAAGACTATAGCCTGGATCAGAAGCACCTTAGTCTCCAGCCTGATGTCGTTGCTCTTCAGTACTCTTGAGAGGTCCCTCACAGCCGACTTTGCCAATGCAATTCGTCTCTTGATTTCCTGGCTGCTGTTACTAAGACTGTTAATTGTGGAGCCAAGCAAACTAAAACTGTTAACTATCTCAATCTCTTCACCATCCACACTGACGCTGCCAATTGGCCCAGTGGTGAGAATCTTTGTTTTCTTGATATTGAGCTTCAATCCATATTGAAGACTGTAGTCCTTGACCTTCTACAACAAGCGCTTCAGGTCCTCCTCAGTTTCAGTGAGCAGGGTCGTGTCATCTGCATAACACAGGTTGTTGACGATTCTTCTACCAATCTGATGCCACATTTCTCCTCGTACAGCCCAGCGTCTCAGATGATCTCTTCTGCATACAGACTGAAAAGGTATGGAGACAAATACATCCCTGACGGACCCCTTTCTTGATTTTGAACCATCCAGTGTCTCCCTGCTCTGTTCTGACAACTGCCTCTT